ATAACAATGTCACAAAGCCTGCGTTTGGAGTCCCTGAGGGTACAGTGTGTACCCTATGCTTCTGGAAAGGCTCTGGCCATATCCCTCACCATTATATTGGCTTCCCGAATATGTGTGGAGATAGCATCGCTTCCTGTCCCTGCCGGGATTCAGTCCTGTTCTCTCGGTGGCTCTGGGTGTGCATAGCTTTACTCCCTAATCAGCAGGCAGCTCCAAACTCACTCCTAAAGATCAGGTCCTCTGCCAGAGTTCTACACTGTTCCGTTTTCAGTGGTGGGTGACTGAGCCTTTTTACTGATGCATGGAAATTCTTATTATTACAATTAGTGTCTGTAGCTTTAGGAAATAAGTGCTAGGTTTTGGTGTCTGACCATACAGTGCGTTCTTCATAAATTTGCTGCTGCCACCTACTGGTATATTATGGTGTCTGTGCTGCTGTATTGAAATTTGGTTTCGATCTAGCAACATTTGGTGTGCCAGACTGTCACCATTGCACAATGTCCACTAAGGTCAATTTTTTTTACACAGAAACAAACACTAGAGAGCCATAGCCTTAAGGCACCTCTGTTAGGGGAAAACAGAAAACACTCTCAGAGTTACAATGAACAAAGTTGCATCTTGGATAGATCCAACCTAGACAGTGAGCACTGAAATTTAAAGAACCATGTGCATTTCCAACAGGATTAAATGTATATTAAATAAAGAATAAAGAAAAAAGAAAAAAACTGAACTAGCCAATGATGTACTTTAGTTACAATAAACGATGCTATATTATCTTTTGTATAACCTGACTATTCCAAATATAACCTGATTGTAAGGTGCCCTATATTTTAAATTCTATAATGCCTGCTTCTATAAAAATTGTTGACATAGTATTAAAAATGAAAATAATTTCAAAACCCAACATGTTTTTAGTTCATTGAAATTTCTATTTGCATGAGCATTTTAATAAGAACAGGGCAGACCAGAGCCTGTCTCCCAACAGGCAGCTATGCAAACACAAGAGGAGATGGGAGATCAGGCCACTCCCAACTGAAACTGTCAGGCCTCTGGAGAGGAAGCAGCTAACAGAAACTGAATTTGCATGACTTCACTAGTGGAGAATTAGGGAGGGAGTTTTCTCTAAGTGTTAGGAGTACAGGTGCTAGCTTATGTCCAACATTGATTTTTACCCAAACCATACTTGTACTTCTTCTTATGAGGTACTAATAAGGTCAACTCTAATACAAATACTAATGCCAATTATTGGAGTTGGGATTTATTGTCTAAAGTTCTACATCTTGATACTACCACAACAGAGTGATGGACAATCATAGTGCTTAGAAATACACTTGCTGTAATCATGTCTGAATTACAAACAGAGATTTAATATAATTATCAGTAGGCATTTACTGCTTGAATAATAAATGAGTAATGCTACCAGTATTCATGTGATGTTGTCACAGGGCATCACAGGGCACCTCAGGTCCTCATCAAAGCTTGGAAGCAATTTGTACTGTAGATGTGTTCATTAAAAGCCTTGTAAATAGACTCTAATTTGTCATTTAAAATGACCCGCTTGGTATTTTTCATGATAATAACATGAATCACATGCAAATCAAGGGTATCCAGCCTTGAGCCGGGTCAAACTCTTTTAGGATTCATTCCAGCTGAGATCTTAATTGGAGTTGCTTAATTAAGGGGAAGTTATATGGTGGTGGTTGAGGGGATCCCCATTACCTGTAAAGTGCTTTGAGTGGAGTGTCCAGAAAAGCACTATATAAGTGTAAGGAATTACTTAATTAATATGATACAGTATGTTCTGCAGATATCAGACCAGATACCCAGATTTAAGGCTATCTTTAAGTATTATGGCTCCAGGATCATTGATGGCCACCTTGGCTATAAATAGTTTATTTTCAGTTCGACACGCATGAAATAAAATTGTACCGAATACCTTGCAATACTGACAGTCCAATTCTGGAGACACTGAATAATGCTATATGACTGATATAACCAGTGGTTCTCTCTTCATAACTAAATACACATCCATTCCCAGTGACTGCACACTGTATTCACAGGGGTCTAGACCTTATTTACAGTGTCATGAAGGTAACCATTCTTCTTAAATTACCTTATTTACTTGAGCACACAGGAAATATTTGATCTTCATGTCTAAGTCCACACTTAATGGCATTATTTGAATTGGCTAAACACATTAACCTCAAAACCTTAAAAATGTATATCTTATCAGTGAATACCTTATTGTTTGTGTCAATAATGTACAGTATAGGTAATGCCATGTTTAGCTGATAGGAGAACCTGCCCTGTGATAAGATGAATAATATAATCTGCAGAGTTATTATTCAGTATTTATTAATATCAGTCATGCAGTGCTGATAGGAGAACCATTCCTGTGATAAGATGAAGAATATAACCTGCAGAGTTATCAGTTTTTTATTTATATCAGCCATGCAGTAGTCAGGACAATACCAACTATTTTAGATTTTCCAGCTGTAGTTGTTTATTACTATATTACATTAATAAAACTATTTCACTTAACCATGATTTTTTAAACTTCGGCAGATTATGTTAATGGTTAAGTTAAATAGCAAATTAAATTATTATTCCCTTTTGAAGACTAAGAGGCATTAAAACACAACAAATGCTACTGACTCAATATTCATTTGTTGGATTTTCAATGCTTCTCAGTATTAATATACAGTACTGTATCTTATCTGTGTTAGCTCGTTAGTTCGATTTACCAGCAATAAAGCCAATTAAAGGTCCGATATCTCTTAGGTTGCATGCAGGTTTCTATGTCAGGGTATTAAAGGTGGTTGATACTGAAAATGAAAGCTGGGAAATATATCCTGTACACAATTTCAGGGGCAACGAAATATAAAACATTAAAAGATTAAAACCTAACACAAACAACATTACAACAAAGATTTATTGATGGATTTGCACAAACAGAGACAAATATACGGTAACATTGAAGTGAAAAGTGTCCTGAATCCCTCAGTCAGGATCACCAGCAGTGGGGGGAAGGCTCATTACCACACCATCAAGTCCAACAGTTTCATGCTGTCCGAAGAGTGAGTCTGAACATGAAGACCTATCATGAGACAAGAGGTGCATCAACACCTGCATTCAGGAGTCACTGTGCTCCAGTTCTCCAGATATTGTGAATCAGACATGTGCCTTTTCACTTGAATAAAATACTGGGTGCTATTTCTGCCTGAGGAAGATCTTGACCAATTTTGCTTTTTAACCTAAAAAATGAGTGGATTTTTCCCTCCAAATGTGCTGATCCTGTAGTGTGTGACATCATCCCAGATGGGAGGTACTGTACCAAGACCTGCCAGTGAATGGAGAAGAATCATGATACAACCTAAAGTGGCAACTTTCACATCCCAAAATATGTCCTCTTTTTGAGAGAATAACAGGACGTGTTCAGCAGTGTTTACAGTTACAAAAACCTACCAGGATGCATCTTCTTGTGCTTTTGTTTAAAATATTTGTGAGCATGTAAACATGCCAGCTGTGTGTGTTTGTAACAGTGTAACAGTGACAGAGTGCTCTGGGGTTATAAACAGTTAACAGTTTTGTTCTACTTGAGGTTTCAGTGACATCATTGTACTGGTTATTAATTTTGTCTTCTCAAAGTCAACATTTCTTCCTGGTGTTAAGTGTTTGGCTTAGAAAAAAACTATACACCCTAAAGCTTTTCAGCCTATGTTGGGAGCAGCATGGAAAAGCAATTTTGCTGTTAGAACCCATAATTTCTTCAGGCAGAATTCATTTTAGTTTTTCTGCAAAAAGCAACTAATTATACTAATTTTGTATCCACTACAATAATATATGACAGATATTTCATTTCGTTTTTTTAACATAGTGTTTCAATGGCCTAAAGCTCAAACAATTCAACAGCACAATATTTTATGAATGCTGAAATAAAGAGGAACATATGTTTAGATCATGTTCTTTTCTTTTAGGCAGGTTGTTAATGTTTTAATTGCAAAAATTAAGTTCAGAATCTGAAATCAATGCAAGAGTTAAATGTTAGCGCTTGCACTTAATTTCAGTATCCCTTTCCTTGCAACCTTTAGAAACAAAGGCCACGATTGTATGGATGCACAGTTAAAGACTGCTAAGAGCAATCCTATTGCTTGGGTGATTCAGCAGCTTTTTCCAAGGTTAATGAAAGGCATACAGCTCTGCAACAAAGTTTTTTTATCAAGAACAATTCCTTTAATTCTTTAATGAGATGTATTAATTAGTTGGTAACCTTTTAGTAATGAAAGAACTATGGCATGGCACTGCATCAACAAATATGTAAAACTTGGGTACAGACAATATGCTTTTTGACAATGTATTTTATTTTAAAATTACACACACCGGCAAATAGTTACTTGCCATTTTGTATGTTAAAAATTGTGAACTACACAATATGCTATTCATGTAAATTACTTCAATTATGACACAAAACTGTCATTGTTTCCTGGTTTTTATACCTTTAGTGTCAAGAAAATATTTCTAAGAACAATATAATATGACCTCTACTCTTTGAGAGAGTTTCTTCTTCTGCAAAAGCACTAGATCAAAATATTTTTAGAAAATAGTGCACAAACTTCACTTTGGGTAACTATAGTAAAACGTAGACTAACACTTAAAACTAATGTGTGTTAATCTCGAACTGGGAGAGTGTTGCAAGATCAATAGTTTGACATTTCAACTGAATCAAGATAACTTAAAAAAATGGAATGTGGTCTTTTACTTTACTTTTTACTTTTACCTGACTTGTTTGTTCTTAACATATCTAAAGTTTAATGAAGTGAAGTTTTCAAAGATACATCAACTTTAAAGAAGTAAAAGATTGCCCCTACTGGTAACATTATTAAAATCTTTACTTTGGAATACTACGTGAATTATTTAATCTGATTTTATTTCAGTGCTTGCATGAAGCCATCTTAAACTGACTCCACCTTCCACCTTCTTTGCAGTATAAAGAAGGCATATTCAGTTTCTCTCCCACTCCCTCTCCCCATTATCACCTATTCAGCACTGTGAGCAAGGGAGATCTGATATCACCATCTAAAAGGGCGCTCCTCAGGCAGAGAGAACACCTGGTTTTCTGAGTTCTAGAAAAGTTTCCAAACATTTTTAAAAACGAAGACGTGACAAAATGTATTCGGCTGGCCTAGAGATACTTGGCGTAACGCTGTCTGTGGCCGGATGGCTTGGCGTGATGGTGGCCTGTTTCCTGCCAATGTGGAGGGTCACGGCTTTCATAGGGCAAAACATCGTGGTCGCCCAGGTGATCTGGGAAGGGCTGTGGATGAACTGTGTGGTGCAGAGCACCGGGCAGATGCAGTGCAAGGTCTACGACTCCATGCTCGGTCTCCCGGACCACCTGCAGGCTGCGCGAGCCCTGACTATCATCTCCATGCTGGCTTGCGTCGTGGGCATTTTCCTCTCCGTCGCTGGGGCCAAGTGCACCAACTGCACGCCGGACAAGGCCAGCAAGCCCAAAATCATCCTTAGCGCGGGCATCACTTTCATTGTGGCGGGGCTCCTGCATCTAATCGCCGTCTCCTGGACCGCCAATGCCATCGTCCTGGACTTCTACGACCCCTTGCTGGAGGAGACCCAGAAGCGAGAGTTTGGGAATTCACTCTACTTTGGCTGGGGTGCTTCTTCTCTTCTCATCCTAGGGGGGGCTCTGCTCTGCTGCTCCTGTCCGCAGAAGGGACGTGGCTCTCGGTCGCCCACAGTGGCATACTCGGGAGCGAAGTCCGTCTCAACCACTAGGCACGAAAAGAAAGACTACGTGTGAGCAGCCTGCAGCAGCAAAGTCTTCTCAAGTACCTCTGATGCTTCGTAGCTTCCACAGGTGCTTGTTAGGACAAACCGGCATGTGTAGGATCCAGTAATGACAATTATTTAGCTGCAAAGCTAAATGGCTGGTGAATGAATGAACTCATCTGATTTCATCTGGACATGATTAAGGAACAGCACAGGTTGTACCAGCTTCAGCTCTTCAGCTTATACAAATGTCGTGCCAGTGCCTCTCAATACACATATACTGCATTCATTAAGGCTTGCAATTTGTGGTTAGTTTGTAGATAGAAAATAATCTGCACATCTACAAATATTAATCTGTAAAAAAGTGAACAACTGATATTAGAATTAATTGATAACTGAAAGGGAGGAAAAGAGCGTTACATGATATGTGTCAGAAGAACAGGTATTATGTAAGCAAATCATTCGGTATTTTGAGCAAAATAATCTGGTAAGATTATTATATGATTATATCTGCCTATATTCAAATACAGAGCCTCTCACACGAAAGCATTGCAACCATAATGAGTGCCCTAACTATTTCTGTGCAGTAGATTTTCTTTTATGTTTAATATGCTCTCTACACATATGCAAAACAAACAAAAAAACAGCCAGACCAAAGATACTACAATGCCAATAAAGTGCTTTCTTCTTCTTCTAAGAAAAAATAATAATAACCCAAATCATTTTTGCTCCAGCATTTAAGTATAAAATTATTTTCTTTGCATAAACTGAGAATCAGCTCTGTAGTATAACAGCTAACAGCTTGTATTTTGATAGTTTTAGGGGAGCAAAAGTTTTTGGGTGAACAGCATTTTTGGATAAATATTCATTTTTAGCACAGATTATATTAGTGTTTTTTTTCTCATTTCCTTGTCTGCATTTAGGTGTTTTTTTAGTTACATGCAGTTGTAAAGAAAATAGTGATAAAGCACTTTCTGAGTCTCTCTGAAAAATGTGGACTACCGAGAGTATCTGTTCAGAGAAAATGATCAATCAGCAAAGTGCCATTTGTAAATAGTGTATGTTAATTGGTTAAATTAAACAACAGTATGTGTGAAATCTTACCTGCACATTCTGAGTTGAATTAAACTTCATTAATTTTCCTTTCATTATGTTCTAAGTTTTGTTGTGTTTTCTCTGCTTTAACTGCTCTTTTCAAAATACTTTAACTATCAGTATTTGGTGGAAATCCAAATTATAGCCCATAGAGGATGAAAATTTAATTTTCTGAATGTGTGCATCGTTCTTGTAACTTGCATAATATTTAACATTAATTTTATGACAAACATTATACATGAGATAATATTTAACCAGAACAAGACTTAATTTTTTAAACCCTTTAGAGTACTAATTAATTTAGAATCTTACAGACATAAAAGGATTTTCTCAGTTCTGTAAGTTTTTTAATTTCCAATTTGAGGTACAATATCTTGAATTTGTTATTGTACACATCACATGATATTAATACTGTTTTAAAGGTAGGAGAATAGAAAACCATGCATCTATAGGGGATAATAATATTATCTTTGCTCTTAGACAAAAACGTTAGTACCTACTGTACGGTTGGCCTATCAATGGAGTTTCTTTTTTATTCAAATGAAAACTCAGCACACTGTCCTAGTCACTCATTTACTAGGTCCAAGGTTATATCTGCTCCAGTGACTCACATTCCCTGTATTTACAGCTATTGATAGATGTCTAATTGCTCTTCAGGGACTACAAATTCAAGATACAAGATTCAAGAATACGCCCCTTCCACATAAATTGGGATTTGTTTCCTTTAACATCAGAAGATTTAAATTCAAAAAGTCAAACCTTAGTATAGATTGGGTAGTTTACATGTGAATGACTAAATGAAAGACTTAAAGCTGAAAGGTATTTGTTTATATTAGTAATGTTTAGCAACCGACTTTTAAAAGCTGAAGGCGTACTCGGTTAGCCTAGACCTAGCAGATGCGAGTACATTGCAGAGAGAGAGAGAATGGAAGACATGGGTCTGTGCACAGAAAATAGTAGGTCTTCTCAACTCTCTACAGAGGACTGCGCTGTTGCAATGAGCGCTGTCATTTGAAATCTATACAGCCTCCAAAACTCTTTCTACAACACTGGGCTTCAGGTGGTTTCGGTTTCAAGCTAGCAAGAGGAAACAACAGAGTGCTCTTTTTTAAGGCTGCACTGCCAGGCTTTCAAGGCTTTCATCCCAGGGATAAAAATCTTTTTCTCATCAGATTCCAGCCTTTGACGGACTTTGAAGGAAGTCAAAGCATACATATTGTTGCTTAGAACTTTATCAGAATGGGGATTTTAGTAGCTGTTCCAGTTTTATGATGAGCAGCGAAACCAAAAAAAATCAGAATTGATATAAATAGGGTTTTAGCAGCTGGGCAGGCAGCAACTCAGTGTCCTGCTGATTCTTTAAAGCCATCATTGTTTGAAGTTTTATCATTATCCTCTATAAATACAGTGTGTTATTAGCTTCTGTTGAAAGATGTTACATAATATGCCAGCAATTTTTGTTATTACACAACTTTTGATAGTCTCAACTGATTGCCCATATGTTTGCAGATGAATGAAATGCATTTTTCCGTAAAAAAACTGGGGGGAGGACATTTTAAAATATTTTGGTTTTAATCTCACAAGATCTTTGGCCTTACACTATTCTCCTACATTTAGTTTATTTACTGTAGTTGAATCACGGAACAGCTCTGCAGTTCTTAATCTGGTTTAATGCTGTGCTCGACACAGATACCAGATACCAGAGAACCATGATTAAAAACCTACTGATAAATTTGATTTAACTCTACATGTACAAAAAGGTGATAAATACAGATATGGAAAGGAATTTTCAGACATCACCTTGCACAGGAACTCAAAAAACTCAAAAAGCCAAATCAGACTGACACCACTTACTAAACATCACAGATCCAACCTTTTTCTCATGTCTTGCTCAGAGGTTTGATATATATCTGTAATCAATAGATGTATCCACTAGCAGGGGTGGCCCAATCAAAGCATTTGGTGTCATGAGCGATGTTTGAGTGATGATAGTCTAACTTAAAACTATGCCACACATATGCTATAAAAACATCAGATGTCTTTCTTTAGCAAACCTCCACACACATTCAAGAGCATTCACTCCTAGGGACAATATTTCATAAAACCAGATCAGTTGATCAAAAACAGATTCTTCTTTACATGAGCAGCCTGCAGAGTTCCTATTGTGAGCAAAACATTAACTGAAGCATTATGAGTGAAGCGTTATGCTCAAGAGAACAACAGCAGTAGTATCCCAGTAGAATCTGGACCAACAACTCTTCAAATCAGTGCTCTCCAATATGTAATGTCTTCTATTGGTCATAACCTGAAAAGAAATACTAAGGCTCATACTTTGTAAGTGGCGGGGGGGGGGCAGGTTAGCTCACCTACTGACTGGAAAAACAGTCTTAAAGTTGTCAAAGATAAGAAAAAGGAGAAAACGACTTTGACCTTTCGGCATTATTCAATGTTGCCAAGTAATCCTTGAAAAAACCAGGCTCACACTGGCAGCTCTTCAAGTCAAAGAGCTTTACCAAGAGTGCTTTGTGAGTGCCACTGGTGTAACACACGTTATAACAAAGCATTTCAGTCTTTCACACACCATCAATTAAAGCAAAAGGAATACAGTTTAGACACCCGAGGACCTACAATGCATATTTTAGTATGAAAACTACCAAGAAGATCTCTTTCTAACTTGTGATTTAAAATGGAAGTGAAACTCTTTAGCATGTCAATTGGTAAGCAGTGCAGAGTCTTTAATAATTATCAAGCTAACTGATGTTTTCATGTAGCCAAAAGCTATCTGTTAATCTTTAACCATATAACAACAGGGCCTTGGTCATTTATTTACTTTTTTCTTTCCATAAAGATGACATGGTGACAACTACCACAGGCGAAAGGTTAACTTGCGATAGTTGACGCTCAGAACACATATGAAAAACTTTTCAGCCAATCCCTACATGATGTCAGCTTCGAGCTGGCTCCACCTTCTACCTGTGGAGAGTTATAAAGATACCAGGGGGCAGGGGGAGTAAGTTTCTTCACAGAGGAGAGTTTCCAGTGCTCAGGCTGATAAGCTTTTCCTTGCGATCTCACCAGTAGGGAAAAAAAAGAAATTGTCGAGGACTAACACTACAAAGGGATGGCTTCACTAGGCTTAGAAATATTAGGAGTGGCTTTGGCAGTTTTTGGATGGATTGGCAGTATTTTGGCCTGTGCCCTACCCATGTGGAGAGTATCGGCTTTTATCGGAATCAACATCATGACGGCCCAGATCTTCTGGGAAGGCATATGGATGAGCTGTGTGGTGCAGAGCACCGGGCAGATGCAGTGCAAGGTCTACGACTCCATGCTGGCTCTCCCCCAGGATCTGCAGGCAGCCCGAGCCCTGGAGGTCATCTCTATCATCTTGGGCTTCTTGGGCATCTTGGTGTCCATCGTCGGGGCTAAGTGCACCAGCTGCATCGAGGACGAGGTGACCAAATCCAGGGTCATGATCACGACTGGCGTCACGTTCAACATCGCTTCGATAATGCAGCTCATTCCGGTCTCCTGGTCTGCGAACACCATCATCAGGGAGTTCTACAGTCCTATCATACCCGAAGCGCAGAAACGGGAAATCGGAGCTTCCTTGTACATTGGCTGGGCGGCGGCCGCACTCCTGCTTCTCGGTGGCTCCATCCTGTGTTGCAGCTGCCCACCTCGGGAAACCAAGTATACTCCTCCCAGGCTGGCATACTCCACCGCCCGGTCAGGGGTGCCCAGCGGCTACGACAGGAAAGACTACGTTTAGACTCCTCGAGGTTGGCTTTTGTTTTTGCCATGATTGATTGACGCTGACGAGCGTGGATCCAGGGTAAAATAAAGACCTCCGGAGGTCTACAAAAGACGTCTACATCAATAATATAAACTAGCGTAATGTCAACAAGGGCATTACTTTACTGGTTTCAACATTATTGCACACAGGTTGGATTCTGAAAGGTAACTCCATTTTTTTGTTGTTGTTCTGGTTTATACTGAAACTCCATTGAATAAATTGTAAGACACAAATGTCTGTTTTCGTTTTTATATGGATTTTTGTCTATTGCAGGACCATACCCTTTTTTAAAAAATGGTTTAGAAGTAAATGCTAGCTTGCAAAAAATGCTTTGAATCAGAACATGATTCCCACAAGACTGGGTTTTGCATTTGTATTCTCCTGAAGACTGTCCATAATTACTCATAATTGAGAAGCATTCGACATTTCAAAGCATATGAAGACTACAGTTCTCCTGTTTCTGGCAATGAACCGTAGCATTACAATATCTTTCTGTAATTGGTGTTTAAAGCAGCTGTTAACTTTAATACGTATACTTTACATACTTTATGAACTTTATGTGTTGTCAATAAATGACATAGATTTGGCAAAATACATAAATGTTATCTCATTTTTGAAAGAGGTGCTGGGGTAGCCAATTGCTGTAAAGGGTGAAAGTATATACAGTAATATTTTAATATTTCATGAAAAAGTCATTTAACATATGGCAGATGCATTTTGTTCCTAACCACTTGTGTGTAACATGTATTTATATAGTAGACATGTAAACAGTTTTATATTTTAATTTGTTTTGTAAATATAATACATTTTTCTAGAAAAAATCTTGCCCAGTAATAAAATGAATCGAATGTCAATATGCTATTTGTCCCGCAATGTCAATAAAATTTTTCAAAATTCAATATTGATGGCTGCAGTCTGTAGCTGTGATGTTATCCACAAAGGCACACATCTCAGAGGAATCTGATGCAAACGATTTGTTCAAGTCCATGAAGTGGTCTTGGAACGGATGTCATGTCGGGCAAAGGTACACTACCTGCTCTGTTTGCTATGCCTTACCTTGCACAGAGAAAATCTATATTTGAAACATCATAAACTCAGAAAGGGGTGGCCATCTGAGAAATGAGTCAAAGCTAGTTACAGCACTTTGTGTTCCATCTTAAATATAACAGGCGCTAAACAAATACAACTTCTTCCCTGGACATAGACAGCTGTAAAACGACTGTGATTTCACAACAGGACTGAGTGTACGTGCATCTCCTCACAACCCTCGTTTCTCTATTACAACGCATTGTTTAAAGTCAAACTTATATAATTTTTCTGGGAACATTTATATGTTCCAGAAATAAGTCTTATATAAATAAGCTTTTTTTATTTTCTTCTCTAATTCAATATTGTGTTAACAAAGATTTGTTTAACCTAACTTCTTTCTTATCATGATTGTGATATGGACAAGCTGTAATGGGTGGCACAGTGTAAAGCATGGCTGTACTGCAGCACTCGTGCCTGGGATGTTCAGTTCCTGGGATGCTATCACAGATCCCTGAGTTCATGTGGGTTTCTTCCAGGTACTCTGGTTTCCTCTCATAGTCCAAATACAGGCTGGTGCATTTATTGGGAAACTGGCCTGGTGTAAGTGTGTGCATGCTGTGTCTGTATATAAACATACAAAGGGCACTGTATTGTCCTTTGAAAATCCTGCGGCAGTGTAGAGTTGGTGGAGGAGCAGCTGAAGTGTCTTTATTCGAGGGAACAGCAGCAGGAGGTCAGAATTACAGCCTACAGGTGCAAGTCCAGAGCCTTCACAATCTAAGCCACTTCCCTCTCCCAAAAATAAAATGAATGACATTTTAATCTAAAACGAATTCACTAATTGGGAAATGTTTTTTTTTTTAGAATGTTATTTATATTACCAAAACGATATCACCAAGCATTGTAATTGCATGAGGTTTATGGGCAAAGATAATCTGAAAGATGGCTGGCAGGTTCTTAAGGAAATGTCCCATACCTGCCAATATGACTTAGAATGACTCAAAATTGAAGCGCCCGTGTGGATGTTCACCTTGTTTACATCATCCATACACTTTGGCTTGCCACCGTTTGCTTGTCTTTCCCATACCTCCTAGTGCCTTTCCATGGTCTCATTGTGTGACTACATTATAACCCAGTGGGTAATTCTCTGGACTCCTGACTGCTGGGTTCCAGGTTTAAGTACCCACTGCAGACACTGCTGTTGTGCCCTGAGCAATGGAATTGCGCCCATTATTCCAGTCTACTCAGCTGTATCAGTGCAGCCCAGTTTTGCTGGAGTTAATTCCTAAGATGGGCAAGTTTTCCATCCATGGGAGAAGTCACAGGTTGGCTGTTTGCTCTGGAAACCAGAATAAACTGGTTTCAGATGCAATTCTGAAACTACATTATAATTGTACTATTATACTAAACTCTTACCATGGTAAATGTTAATTACGGATTAAAGAACGTGCTGTGTGTCTTCTTAATATTTCTGGTTTGTCTGCTCCTTAGAATCTATTGTTTTGTGTTATACAATGGATAACATGTTAAATAATAAGGAGACCTGAAACAAGAACACACACAAAGCCAAGTAAAAACACAAAGTGTGATGTCAAATAATCTGCTCTGCTGATACCCAGGCGTAAACACATCAATGGAAGGCAATAAAGTAGTTATATTATGCAATTTCACCAAATATCATTTTCCATATACAGAATTAAAAACTAAATTTAAAAAATTGAATTCCTAAAGGTACTTTGAAAGAGCCCAAGTGATTTCTGTATAAGGTAATGACCTAAAAAAATGATCTATTTAAATAACAACACTTGAATTAAAGCCTTGTCTACTGTGCTTACTGTGTCTTCATTACTTAGCGTCAGTTGTAAAACTTGTGTGAGGTACCTTCCCTTACTTACAGTACAAACAACCCTGTACAATACTTTTATGTCAAGAGGGAAAATAGATCCCAGTCCTATCTTTCAACAAGGATTGTCAGAAGTCAGAGGTAGTGAATTGTATCTGCATGCTTGAAACACAGTTTGGAAACCATCCAAACTCTAGAGAATTCAGGAGCAGCAGAGTGAATGATTGAAATACTCATTAAAGAACATCAAAGAGACAAGCCACTGAGCAGCCCATTCTTAAGAAAACAAGGTCACAACAAATCTTCCAGAGGACACATCTTTGGTAAGGTACTCAGAAGTTTTGACAGAGAAGTTTAAGCAGAGGTAGCAGCACAGAAATGCTAAACTATCCCTGAAAGAGAGTCATTTATTACAGATTCTATTTGAATAGCCTTTTGTGTACAATTAAACACATATAATGGACAATTCAAGGACAATCCAGACATTTCACAAAATAATTTCGTATTGCGAGACAGGTTTTGTTCCTTAAGAGGTGGATGTGTAGCTGCATAAGTGTAAAGGAAAGTGTCAGTCCTTCTAGAATGATCTAAAAAAACTGGGCACAAACTTTTAATGCCCAGTTTTTTTAAATATACTTTATTTTAAAATGAAAAGGATATACAAAATTGCACTTTATTAATGGCTCCAAGTGTTTTACAAAAACATGTAATGTTTTACTCAATGGTGAGTTATTGAAGTTTTCTTTAATATTTGACCTAATGTCACCACAGTTAAGGATGTCGTTAATCAGACAATAGCATGGGGATGATGAGCCTAATGTCAGACATTCACTTCACATACCAACACTTCTGGTTCAGTCATTTTTTATCTGGAGACGTAAGAGCTGAGGTGATCTGGCAAAGTCCAGACCTGCCCACATTACTTTCAAAACAATTCCTCCTTATGCTGAAAAAAAAGATCTGCAGATAAAATAAAAATTATTTTGTTTACTAAGCAAAGAGCCTGCACATAACTGCAAACAAATCTTCTCAGCAGATAAATGGGGTTGTTCTGGGTTTGACCTGATGTTATATGTTATTCCATCATATATATGCATATTTGACTAATCTTTGGTCACACTACATCAACTCAAACACAATAAAAAGTGAATGTCTTCTTACATAGGATAAAGCTACACAATTCTGAAAACTGGTTCTCTTTTAAAAGAGTAGTATAGTAGAATGAGTACACAGTACATCTGTCTTGTAAACCATAGATAATCCATTGACAAATACTAACAAAGACACTCCTTGTATACTACACCTCAGTAAATAACCAAATTCACCGAAGGAAAAAGAAAACTTTTCAAAGAATTCTTGAAAAGGAGTGGTTTCATTCCAAGCACGAGAGAAACTTTGGGACTGAATTATCTTTATGAATTTATAGCAAAATCTTTGATTAAGTTTCACCATGTTCTCACTGTCGTGAAGCATGACATGACCTTTGCTAAAAGACAGAATATTTGAATATGCAACGAGTCAAAGGTTAAATGGGGCAGCAGATTATCAGAGCTCAAATTTGTGACTTCAAATGTTTTCCTTCGGGTGATGACCGTGTCCGCCCAAAAGCCATCCTGACACTTCCTTAAGGAATGCCAGCCAGATTAAATAAATCCACGAAACGGACAGGTGCATTAAAGATGCGGACGTCTGCAAATACTAGCCTTGCTGTGTGTACGGTTTTGTCAAGATGGCTGTTTGGCAGGTTGCTCCAAATGTTCAAACATGGTTATTTGAAGATACTGAATTGATGTTAAACTGAAAGCAATTACTAGGTGCAAGGGAAATGATCTTGAATCTACTCACTGTTCATCCAGTGAAATAAACCGGGAGCTGGCAAAAAATACGTTTTACAAGTAAAACATATTTGTAGATTTAGCAATTGTCACGTTTTGTGACCATTTTAACGCCCTTTTTTACTTTTTCTCTGATGATGAGCGCAGTGCTTATTTGTATATCAAATATTGTGACCTTTAGAAAAAGGATCTGGTTGTACGTGTGTATACAGAACACGCAGTTTCAGTTTTATGTGCATGGTACGCCTGTTGTTGTTTTTTAAGGAAAACCTGCTTTGCTGATTCCGGCTTTGCCAGAGTCCTGCTTTTAACGTAAAAAAAATTAAAAAATTAATTAATTATTTGTGCAAACATTATCAGCTGGGTTGTTTTTGTTTTATGGGCTCGTTACAAACTTTAACATGTAAAGTGCATCTGGCTTTCTTCAAAAACGAGTGCAAGACGTAAAAACCGATTATGCAGTGGTATAATATATTGAAAGAAGGGTTTTGGAAATGCATGTGTTCTATCAAACATTACAGACGTGCAGTGTGCAACACTCCTACTAAGTCAGTCACAGCACACACTGGTAGCATTTTATACCTCCCAGTTTTCTGCTGGAGGTCTGCTTGCTATTCGCGCTGTCTGGCCGTTTGTCATGAGAAACAGCTTTTATTTGGCAGGAACAGGTTTCTTTGGAAGAGCGATACTATTGATAATGCACGTGTTCATAACATTTGTTTTTCTTTTAGTTGAAGAAAAAAAGAACATTCTGCTCTCCTTGACTGATTTCTTCCTGTGTCCCGGGAAACAAACCAGCTCCTCACAGCACTTTCAATCACTTTAAAAAAAAACGAGGATAAAACGAGTATTTTCGTTTTATCCCAGAGCAAGTGCCATCTGATCCCTTAACCAAATGTCACGAGATGTAAAATGTGTATGTTTACTAGCTTGACAACCAGAGAGAATGTTTAATTGTTACATTTATTACAGTTCTCAAAATATTGTACATACTGGAAGCCTGATAAAAAATATATAGCTAAAGCATCAATCTTAATGAACATGAACTGCTATACTGGCTCAACTACAAGAACAAAGCTGGAACATTGCAGAGGATTAAATATACACTTCATCAAAGACTGATTTTTCTGTTAGTCTTAAGTGCTTTAGGTAATACATCTAAGTTGTTCCTTAAACTTCTCAAGAGAAGAAATAATGTTTTTCCAATGTGCTTTTCAGGGCTGAATATTAGTGCAATTGTAATTTCTTTGCATGAGCTTTGTGTGTTTGTGAATACATCTTTAGCTTGTTGAATGACAAAGAATAACTTTAAAATCACAGTTAAAAGGTGCACAGTTAAAACATATGAAAAATTATATTTCTATTAAATTATATTATTTCAGATTCCAGCTCGAGTCTCCCATTTTCATTTTCCTCCTGTGCTCTCACCATTCCTCATCCTTCTGTTTTAAAGTCCAAAAACTTTTACCTTTGCTGTTAATGAATAAAAAATTAAATACTGATCCATGGAAAACAAAAAGCTCAACATTTAAGTGAAAGTGAATGCAAACTGAAATTAAAATGAATAAGCAAATGTTAGATGAAAGAGGAAGATTGATTGTCTAAATAATGTTGATTTTTTTAAAAACCTGTAAGCATCTTTTCAATTCTGTTGTCTAAAAGCAAAAATACCCCCGGCCACAAATTATTGCTGCCTACATAAATGGCACATAAGCATCTCTGTGCAGGTTAACCCCACCCTTACTGACAGAGCTGTGTAAAGGGACAGGAGTTGCAAAGATCTTCAGCCCTTCCTCCACATGATGTAATCTCCTGAAAGGACTCCTCCCTCTACCTGTTCACTGATATAAAAGATACTTGTTTCCCAGCACAGCCACATCATCCCCCAGAAAGAAACGGGATCCTGTTTGAACTACTGAGTACCACAAAATATTCTCCGGTTTGAATTCTCATTGTCTTAGAAAAGAACTAGAAAAAAGAAACAAGAACAATGTCAGCAGGGTTGGAGATTGTGGGGATCGCACTGAGTGTGCTGGGCTGGATTATTGCAATTATTTCCTGCGCTCTCCCCATGTGGAGGGTGACGGCTTTCATCGGCAGCAACATCGTGACGGCCCAGATCATCTGGGAAGGGCTGTGGATGAACTGTGTGGTGCAGAGCACCGGGCAGATGCAGTGCAAGGTCTACGACTCCATGCTGGCTCTCTCTGCAGATCTGCAGGCAGCCCGAGCCCTGACTGTCATCTCCATCATTTTAGCTGTTTTGGCTGTCTTGATCTCCATCGTCGGTGCCAAGTGTACCAACTGCATAGAGGACGAGGGCTCCAAAGCCAAGGTGATGATCATATCGGGGGTGATGTTCATCATCGCTGGAATCCTGCAGCTCATCCCCGTCTCCTGGTCTGCAAACAACATCATCAAGGAGTTCTACAACCCTTTGGTAACAGACGCCCAGAGAAGAGAGCTTGGAGCATCACTGTATATCGGCTGGGCTGCAGCAGTTCTCCTGATCCTTGGAGGGGCGATGCTCTGCTGCTCCTGCCCGCCCAAGGACAAGAAATATCCCGCCTCGCGAATGGCTTACTCTGCTCCAAGATCAGTAGGTGGCTACGACAGGAAAGACTATGTCTGAACTCTTTGAAGTGTAGCTTCCTTTCACATTGTTTCGACAGTCATTTTGTTTTTAAAGAAAGAAACAGACAGCACGGTGAATTGAAGTAGATCAAGGGACTCCGCCATGAAGGAACTCCTTTGTTGTTGCTGATATTTCTGCCTCTTTGCAATTTTCTCTCTCACTCAGCTAGGGATCTCTAGTAGTTACTGTTATTGAGGTGGTATCTGATTGCGGTAAACCATCAAATGCTTGCCATTCAGCTGACATAATATATCCTTTCTATGCTTTGTACATTTTTTTACGTTTCGACTTTTAACAAAGAACTGCACATTTTGTACATTTTAACTGGAAACAAGCTACGTCCCAGGAACATATGGAGACTATAGGTGGGTGACAAATGTCTTGCGTAGCTGTTAGCTTGCAATATTTTCCTTGGTTGCGTATATTGTACATTGTATTTTATATTGCTTAACTGACAATCAATTTATTTAAGAAACAAAAAGTTGAGTAAATATATCAAACAACAATGTCAAAGAAGAATAATTTCAATTGCTTTCTAGTTTCACTTATATTGCTTTTTGACAAACATTTCAGTGTTCAGGGAATGTATAAAATACTCAGGCACAAATGTTTTCAATTATATGTATATAAGCTTTATGTCATGTGCAAATCTTTTTCAGTACCGAGGTCATTATAGTAGATTATTACTACATTGATTTTAATCCTGACTACTGATGTGTAATAGCTCCCTCTAAAGTGTTTAATCCTAAAAGAAGAGTTTGGATGTTAATAAGCAATAGTTATCATCGACCATTATTTTCATAAAGACAAGGAAAGGTTAAGAGACAGCTGCAGTTTGTCTCTTTGCATTTGCTTTGAATAAGGAAACCAGAATGTAAATTAAATAAAAAGAACTATTCATATTAATGTGCCCCAGTGATAGTTCATATACAGTACATACAAAAACACATAAATAATATTTCCCTGCATTATGCAATTAAATTTAATGTTGTTAGATTATTTTTGTGAATTTTGTTTTATATTTTCTGTGTTGTATTTTGTAGCCTTTTGTTAAATAACATATGCTGATGTGTGGACAAAGTGTATAAAATGTTTAAAACTAACAGCAAAAATGTTTTGACACAATATTTGTATGAGGCATGACTTTTGTTTTCTCATGTTTTTACTGTGTTTTAGTAAATAGAAGCCTTTCAGGTCATCTTGAGCAGTAAACAATGCCTGTGTAAAACTACACCATGACTGCAGAATAATTTTGGTATTTCACAATAATAGAGCTAACATTGTTTGTCTTAAATAAAGATAGTAATTATTTGAAAAAAAAACATGAGGCTTCCTTTTCTCAAAACTCTTTAATTTAAATATGGTGTCCATCTTGTGCTAAAATGGTCTGGTAAAGAATGTTTTAAACAATGGAATGAATGGAGTATACACACAGAAACATTAGTTTCTGTTCTTCAAAATTGTGCTAGACCCATTTTCCAGACTCTCAAACGCTATATCTGGAGAAACACAGGATGAGGGTGAATTGATTTTAATGTTGATGACTGATAAATTAGCCATAGATTATCATGAATTGATTATATTAATTATAATTGCTTATAGGGCTGCAAGGGACCCAGGTGTAATTGATTAACTGTTATAAAAAAGGATGACTCCCAGTTGGTCTTTTTTCAGAACCAACTATGTTTAATGGTAATGGTGAAGGACAGACCTTGGCACATTTTAATTATGTGAAATTTGGACAAGAATTATTGATAAACTTCTGCATATCAATTGTGGGAGAGGTCTCTAATGAGTCATACAAATATCACCTTACCTTAAAAACGGCACTGTTACTCAATATGCATCATTGTTAAACACACAATCGGCTGTCACCTGCTTGTGTCACAACATGGTAGCTACTGTATCTCCATTAATAATGGCAGCACTCACTGGCACTTTCTAATTTCCTCAGAGAGAGAAGCTCAAAGACAATTCCACTTGAAGGGTTTTGCGACTTGTGATCTTTGTTAGGTGGTGCACACCTAGCTTTTTGTCTTATCACCCAACAAAGTAAACCTGTCTAGTTGAATTCGCATCTGTAGCTCCTTTATCCTAGGCCTTCAGTCAATGCCTGATAGGTACTGAACCTGACTCACTTCAATTTCACTGAGAAGATTTGCCACAAAGTTCCTGAAATTACGGTATCAATAATTAAATGCAGTGCAGCTGCTAGTAGCCAAAAGCGTGCTTGCAAACCTTCAGATTCAAACCTTCAGTAAAAACCTCAAACAACAAGTATTTAATGCCTTTTTTTGGTAAAGGAAGCAAACTCTTCAAAAGTGTTTCATTTATTTTTTTAATTCAGCACCATGTAAAACAATGGAAGATCAGGCAAACCTATTAATTACTTTACACGCAGATGTTGCTTTTACTATGTGTAGCTCTTTGTGCTGCACCTGTTTTCCTGTCCTCTGATTTGCATGGCTTATCTGACTGTAGAACATGGACAGAATAAGACTTAGCTATAACATTTGGGATGTGATATTGCCTGTTTACTATGGGAAATACCACTGAACTGTCCCCATTTGAAAGTGTTAAGGCAATCTTCACTGCACTAAAAGGAAGTTTCCCATGAAAATGGCTGGCAGCCTAGTTACAGGACAACAAAACTAAACTTTCATGAGAAACCATTCCAAAATAGTAAATGAAAATGTTGTGATATTCAAATATTTAACAGTTGAAGCCTCCAAAAAAAAGAGTTTACTGAACCTCTTAGGCAGAGGAGAAATACCACTTGTTTCTCTAGACCACAGAGACAAAATACAGACCACAGAAAAAAATCAAAGACATATGTTTGAATGACATTAATCACTACATTAAAGCAATGAAATGATCAGGTTCTTTTGCCCTTCAAGTAATCTATGACTTTCTGCAAAGGTGGTTTAACCTCTTGGGTTGCAGTTATTTTGGAAGCAGGACGCCACACTCTTTGTAAACTTTGTTTCCATAGCAGCAAAATCCCAAGGGCCAGCACACATTCATTTCCATTTCACTTGAACAGCTATGCCTGACTGCACACACTGGGAGTTTGCTGTTGCCTTGTCTTTAGTTTTAACAGCTTGGTTTTATAATCTGCACAAAGAGGCACTGACAAGATTTATGATGAGAACCAGAAATCTCTTCTATCCTCTTTGGTCTTTTTAGAAACATTCACCCGCGATAAATTCTGTGTAACGACTGCAAAACAGCATTTCTGACAAAGCGCAAAAGAGTTCTGTGCTTTACAAAACACACATATATTTATAAACATTGTTGTCAATATTTATTTAAAAACCCATGTGGTATGTGAATGCTTTGGACTATACTGTATACAACCAAAACTCCTTAGATTAAAAAAAAAAAAGATTAATTTTTTAAAGTACCATTTGTTGCCATACAGGACAATTAAGCAGTCTCTCCAAGAGTTCTGATTAAATTAAAAACAAACATCCAAGTGTTCCCAAATTTCCATCCTGTAAAAAAATGATTGCACATCCAAATGAATTGGTGGCAAAATACCTTGCATCACTGTTTGGAAGCCCAGGGGCAACTCCAACATCTACAAGGTCATCACAAGTTTCATAACAACTGTTTGCTAACTTTAGCCAAACTTTATCAAGCAAATATTTGTCTTAAAAGTAGAGATAGCCTTTATCTTCTCATCAGAGAGAATATAGCAAGCACATTCATTAAAAGGGGGGACTGGTAAAATATGTCAAAAGTTGTCAATAAAAAGATTGTTCAAAAATGGTTTGTGAAAAAACCCATCTTATTTCCATTACAGATTACAGATTGTTTCTTTGCTGGTAGTTTGGAATTACCTCTTAGGGTTGTAAAATAAAAACTCTTGGATCCAGGACAGATTTGGATAAGCACTGAATAATGGAAACAGTTGATAATAATTTATATTTCCTTACACTTATATAGCACTTTTCTGGACATCATACTCAAAGTGTTTTACCTCCACCACCACCAGTGTGCAGCCCCACCTGGATGATGCAACGGCAGCCATAGTGCACCAGAACGCTCACCACACATCAGCTCTCAGTGGTTAGGAGAACAAAGTTTAGAAGCCAATTCATAGATGGGGATTATTTGGAGACCATGATTGACAAAGGCCAAGGCCAAAATGAAATTTGGCCAGGACACCAGGATAGCACCCCTACTATTCTTGAGAAACCCCCTGGAAATGTTAATGACCATGGAGAATCAGAACCTTGGTGTCACATCTCATCTGAAGGACTTTAAGTAGGTAGCTGCATCAGCATGCGTAGGCTGCAAAGCAACAAGTAAAGGTTTTAGCTGTGGAGCCTTCTTCGGGCATGAGGCTCCACAGAGGAAACATTGTGTTTCCTTTCTTCTCTTTTCAGCATGGAATAAACCTTTACTCATCCAAAGGATGGCACCATTTTTACAGTATAGTGTCCCCATCACTATACTTACTGGCTCCACTAACACCTGTTCTAGCAACAACTTTAGGTTTCCCAGAAGGTCTCCCATCCAGGTACTGGCCAAGCTCACACCTAAGTAGCTTTAGTCGGTTGCCAGTTGGAAGTTGCAGGGTGATGTATCTGCTAGCTGTACCAGTCAGCTTTCAATTGTATGTGCTTTTTTACAGAAAGGTAATTTAATGACAAACTAAGCTACAACAGAGTAAAGCAATCCTCAAAAAAATATTTAGAACAGGATTATATATACAGTATATATCAGTTACCCTACATTTTATTAAGCCCTGTTAGATTGACAAATAACAGGATCTTAAGTGGGCTCCCTCTTCCTTGACCCATTAGAAATTCTACTTCAGATTACATTTTGTGTATGACAAAATTAAATATTTATTTTAGGGTTGGCTTGTGATTTTGCAACCATATTTCTTTGCTGGAACATTGTCAATACAGCTGCATCTCAAGAAATCTAGAAATTATAAAAATACTCTTCACAGCTCAGAGGTCAAGACAAGGATAAAACTAAGAAAGCTTTGCTATCTAAATTGAAGCTGGGTGTTATTTTAAAACCACAAGATACAAAGTCCAGTGAATAGCTGTGGAGAACTGTTTAGGATTGGTGAAGATATATTATGTGCATTTTTGGCTGTGGATTAGATGAGAGGAAAAGCAGCAATTAATTATACTCATGAGCTGCTATTACTGTCAATACCACACTGAAAACAGGAGGTCTCACTCATTTTGCACTGCAGAGGAGGCTGCATTGTGATCACGTCTTTAATTTAAAACACCTTATGATGCTTTTTATTTGGCCAAATAGGTACAAATGTACAGTTCTGGACAACTCAGGATTTTAGGAATGTGAGAGGCTCAGATACCATCTCCCAGGTCAACATTGATTGATGTATTAAATCATTATTAAAGAGCTTGACTCATATGTCATTGCTATTAAAGCTCAGGAATTACAGAATTAAAGCTTATGAGCTCCATTGCATCACTACATTTAAGCAATTTAATTTTGGTTTGAACTACTTTTTATACAAACTCAAGTCCATTTGAGGTGTAAACATCATTGGTCAGAAATCAGAACACATGCAGAAAACCCACACGAACAAGGGGGAGAACATACAAAATCTTCACTTTAAAGTTTGTTAGGCTTAAAATATAACAGTTATCTTGGAGTGATCACTCAGCTTCATGATGTGTCCTTCCTATAAACATCATTTATACATCCATTTTCTTACCACTTTATCCAATACAGACTCGAGGGGGAGCAGGAGCCTATCCCAGCAAGCAAAGGGGTGTAAGCCAGTCAAAAGCAGGTCACACACAGTCACAACCAGAGCCAATTTTCCCAGAAGCCATTTAAGCCACCAGTATGTTTTTGGACTATGGGAGGAAATCAGAACACATGTAGAAAACCCACACGAACAAGGGGAAGAACATAAAAAAACAACCAAACAGCTGAGCACCCCAGGAATTGAACCCATAACTCTGAGGCAGTGATGCTTGCCACTGTGCCTCTGTGCCCCTGCTACTCTCTCCATACCTGTGTAGCATTTTTATATCACCAGACATCCCCTACTTCAGGTCTACCAGAGGTGGTAGCAGTGCCAAAGTTGCTCAAATTCTGAAGAAATTGTTTCTATAATATAAGGAAGGGAATTTTAAGATAATGAAAAGGGACTTAATTGCCGTGGATTAAAGAGCAACCTCAACTGTACCAATTAACAGGTCCAAACATTTAAACTGATGCCAGCTTCAAAAATCTCTTTGTCTCTGTGTACTGAACCTTGATAAGCCAGGTGCATGAGTTCAGCCTTTGTATTTGCAAATACGGTTAGAGTCTGTTTTTCTTTTTCCCCAGGGATGCATTCCAGACAATTCAGGGTCGAGCAAAGGCTGTTACAGCCAAACAGATGTAGGTTAGTTCAGGAAAAAGGTGAATTAGGGCTTGGCTGAAGGACTTGGCTTCTCTCTCTGTTTCTGTTACTTTTTCTTTTTTCATCATTAACAGCGTCTCACAAAGATCTTGTTTAAAACCCACTCCCAGGAAAGACAGGCATTCTCAATAATTAAACAAGTACTTGTCCAAAACTGCAGGAATTGAGGAAGTCTAGAAGACCATTCATATTAAAAATATACTAAATGCATGCGATCTAGAGAGATTATCTGCATAATCTTCCATGTCTCCAAAAAAACAAAGATAAAATTATTCAATAGTCGATGTGGAACTGGAGAATTCTATAAAGCAGAAACAAATGTGTACTTCCCCTAAACAATAGTCTGTAGCGTGCCATTTATTATTGTTGGTTATTTGCTTAGCAGAAACACGCTTGCGGGAAGACGTATTAAATAACAAACACACAAAATAAAATACAGAAGAAAATGTAAATTGTAAAAGTGACAGGTACGTCATAGAAGCGTATGCTCGTGTGCACGGTGAAAAACGTGTCACCCTACATACATGCTGTAAATATAAAGCACCATCAACATATATATATATTTCTTAATGAACTCAAAGTTTTTCAGACCGTCTGAAAAAAAAGACGGAGTTTGGAAAACAACCAAATGTGTTGCAACAGGTGGAATTCAGGGGCACGATTTAGAGTGATATAAAAGTCACCGGCTTTTTGTTGCGCGAAACTTATACACCGTTACCAAATGCTCTTCAATTAAAAACCAAGAGCCTCCAGGAAACTCAATTCCTCTCTTCATCTGTGCTCTAGTGATTACAGCGAAACTGGTGTCATGTGACCGATACTGGGAACAGGGAAAAGAGAAGTTGCTAGGCACCTGACCTTATCAGAACTAGGGCCTTCCCTGTTTACACTGAGGATACAGCAAATACCGTCGCTGTTTTCATCGCCTTCGTGGGCAAACAAAAGCGCTTTTCTGGAGGTATAATCACGCAGAGGTGCTACCGGACTCGAAACGCCACTCTTAGTCCTGCATTATCTTAAATAAAACTAAAGGGGCTGTTTTTTTTTCAGACTCTGTGATTATATTTGAAACCATGGTGAATACTTTGAGAAGGAAAGCTTCCCCCTGGTTTTCAGGAACAATGATACTTGAATGACAAGCTTTGTTACTTTTGCAATATGTTAAATGACAGATCAAATTCCACTAACACAGTGGAGAACCCTATACCTTAATCTCTTGAAAAGAATTAATTCTGAGCTAGAATAGTACACCTTTTTTATTTATGCATACAGAACTTTTTATATCAATAAGATAGCATAAAAATCTGTGATCATGGAAAAAATAGAAGGATATGATAGTCATCGCAGTGAGTAAACATTTGTCTTTCAATTGGGTCCACACAAAAGGCCATTTATCCTCTCAACAGGATTAGGAAGTGAGACTAGCAGATAATCCGCCAGGTTGAGGTTAAGTTACAATTATTAGTACGTTTATTAGTTTAGAAAAACAACGCACCAACATCCTAACTTGGAGCTCAAAAGACTAGCGCACCTTTGCGTCTTTGGGCACAGTATTCAACTGCAAAGAGAATGAAATCAAACCAGCAAGACACCATAGAAAAAATACAGGTCCAGATCCCATTCCCTAACGGTAAAGCGTTTTTGCACTGTCAGAAGTTTTAACCATTTATTAATGCACACCTATCCTGTACACATAGTCCACCATTCTCATACTTCTGCTGACTCTCAGGCTATTAACCTCCCTCAGATTCCTGCTTTTGGTAGTAATATCCAACACCACAGGCCAGAATGATCCTACGCAGGGATTTTTTCTACTTGTGCTTCCTGATTTACTGTCAAACTCTCTGCTTTATGAGAGTTAAAGAGTCATTAATTTAGGACTGTTAAACAAAGCAATTTGTACTGAGTCTTTATCCTCCAGCCAGTGATTACAGTTCTGGGCAGTTTCACGGCACAGGGATCTGAAGTTGGCACCATCACAGGAGCAAACATCACAGAACTTATTGGTTTTACTGAGTGGGAGGGTTCTTTGATGACCAGTTCCAACATTCTTAATTTCTTCTATTATCACATCACCACAAAGCGTACACACAGGGCATCCACCCACTCCAAAGTCCTGAGATACTCATCTCAGTCGCACCAGGGATGAGATTTGTGTTTCCATCATCACAGCTAGTCAAGCAGAGTTCCTGTGGCATCGAGACTATAAAAAAACGCCGCTGTCACCTGCTCAAACCTTGGTTAGTGTCAAATTCTCCCATAACAATGGGATTTTCTTCCGAGAAAATGGGGCACGCTCACGGCTGTAAGTAACGCTTGTACCGAGAACAACAAAGAATTTATATTGAATTTATATTTATACTAAGAAAGTATATTGCAGAAAAAAAACCCCGATGTTCCACAAAGCACAGTGAAATGGCCGATGGTGAAAATACATCTGCGACAAACTGTCAGCGCAGACTCTAAACACAAACCAGGAAATAGGAAAATAGCACAACATTGATTATTTGTTTCAGAATGATAGCAATAAACAATTGTATTAAACCTGAAATAAGCAATAGTTTTAATATGCTATTGTCCTGAGGTACCCATTTTATCCAGAATAAATTAAACTTCATGATGCTAGGAATCCACATTTCTCTCCATTTCTCTGAATTGTATTTGTATGTTCCCTAAAGAAAAGCATACGCCTATGAAAATGCTGAGAAGCCGGTCTTTTAAACAGCTGTATGACGCATTTCCTAGAAAACCACTATATCTATATTTACAGTACATTTATGATTATTGGGTCCCTAGGTTAATTGCTTTCTGGGTAAATGTGCCTCAGTGGGAGTGAATGCATGTCTGTGTCTGTGTCTGTGCGTGTCCAGCGAAGGACTGGCCCTGCTCCTGTCCAGGCTGGATCCCATCTTCCAGCAGCTGCTTGCCTGGATAGACTCCAGTGTCCCCAATGACCCTATACTGGATAAAGCAGGTAGAAAATGGCTGGAAGGATTATTGGGTTCCAAACGCTGCAAAGAAAAAATGGCACCTCTACTTCTCCTACAGTAGGTTTGACGTGTGTCACTTGTTGGTTCCTATCCTGTCGTTAGGCGCTGTAATAATGGCCTAAATTCGGCTGTGTTCAATCAAAATTATGTGGAGGAGGACAGCACTTCCTACTTCGCTGGGTTCACCATGTGCATAGCAGCGTACTTACACCTTTTAAAAATGAACGGGCACACGCTCAGCCTCCGGATCAGGGCACTCATCAGGTTAGGAGGGAAATCAGAATAGCATCAAATGGAATTGCAACAGCAGAGGCAGCAGTCAACCTGCACGTCACAGGTTTGCAGACAGATCACGTTCGCTGAACTGTGCCCAGCCAATCTCTATGTCAGTGTTGAACTGTCGCCCTCTTCCGGCGTGTCTGCAAAGTTCAAGTTCAGTTTTGCTACAAAGTTAATTCTCGGGAAGAAATCTTTTTTTTTTTCCCCCGCGGATAAATTTATGATTCGGCGGATTATTCTAAAATAAGCAAACAACCGGGTGCATTTGTACAGAAGAAATGGGAAAAAAATCTGTTTTTAAACCTTAGGAAAGCAACAATTCTACGTCTGCAATGTCAATTTTCCGTTAGATATTCGTACTTTTGTACCGAGAAAATAATCACAACAATTGAAATAAAAGCTTGACTATTAAAACATTAACCAAAAACCCATCGCATGCATTGCTGGCAGTGTTGTACCAATTTCATTTTTATTTAATAAAAAATATGAATGTGCTGTAGGGTCAAATAAAACGTCTCGTACAGAGCTTGTTCGGGTTTTAATCGAAGACTTGGGGTACACTATGAGTCAGGTAAAGCCTTGATTACACAGAGAACGCTTATTTTTAATAGCATATTTCCTACAATGCGTACAGTACATTTCATAACAGCCGCCTATTATTTAAATGCCTGGAAAACTTGTGCACCAGCGTGAAACGTCACCACGTTCAGCCTGCGCGCTGGAGTGGGTCGACTTCCTCTGTGTGGTGCCCGTGTCTAATTTTTTTTTTTCCTGGATGTGTCATTTTGCACTCCTGCATTTTCTCCGATTGTGATTCTTGCCTACACGTATGGTGCGGGGATAGTGGAGCAGGACGCCGCGACAGCATGAGTCTCCTGTGTCGGATCTGCCCCGCGGGGCTGCTGCTCAGACGGACTCTGGGTCTCTGTGCCGGTTCCGTACTTTTGGGGTCTCGGGGGTTGTGCTCCGACGCGTCCCGCTGGAGCAGTGTGCCCAACGCCAGCGTTGGTTCTGCCAGGTGTGCCCGTAGGAATTGCAGATATTTTCGGTAACGCCTGTTGGTGTTGGAAGAAACGAGAGAGGTTGGAAACAAAGGAGTGCGGTGCATTAAATTTACCATTGCCCTTCAATCGCGAACTCCTGATGCGGGTTTCGCGAACCCTGACCGACCCATTGCGTTTGATAAAAATTGAAGTCTGTGCAACGAGTGTAATGGAATAATTCTTGATGTAATACACGCTGCCTTACATTGAACTACTCGTTGTTGTTGTTGTTGTTGTTGTTGTTGTTGTTTTAGAACAGCTTTTAAAAACGTGTTATCATTTCATAACAAATAATGTGTAACCTTGACGTTATGCGTGCGCCAGGATGAGTATCTGCTTTGCGTTGGTTGCGAGATCGTTGTATTTAAATAGAGTGGCAGGCAGAAATCGTTGAACTCGTTTGCCATCCAGGCCCCACCTGTCAGTTTCTGGCATAGCCCAGGCCCGAGTCGCCGGGAGTGAATAAAAATAACAAGAGTAGGCAGTAATAAACAGTCCTACAGCCCGAGGATTATTTGCAATAACAGTTTCAGGATCTGGTGGGAAGGTTGTTGTTGTTTTTTTTGTAGCATAGAATCGCCAGAATACAGCGTCCTACTTGGAACTTGAGCGTTTTTATCGGGGGTCCCCAGCGACACCCACATTTCATTTCAAAGGGGATGGGGTTAGAATTTATGGAACAGCTGTCATTTTTTGGACTTAGTCCCTTCACCGCTGCAAAGGAGAGGGAAAATTGCAGGGCTGAGGAATCTGGGCAGATGACATTAATATGATTAAGGGTGTAACCTGCTTACATGCGCTTCAGGCGTGTTGGTGTGCAACGCGCGATTGTGAACGGCCGGTAACCTGGGCGTTTTTCCCTTCTGTCTTCCAGCCCCGTCAGCCTGTCGTACGACGTGTTTGACGGAAAAGGGACGGATGCCCCCCTGGTGTTTCTCCACGGCTTGTTTGGCAGCAAAACCAATTTCCACTCGATAGCCAAATCCCTTGTGCAGCGGACAGGGAGAAAGGTAGCACCGACCTGCAGCTCCGTGGTTCCGTGGCACATTTCAGCTGGCGAAAGGATTTTTACGTTTGTAACAAAATCACTTTGCATAACCACGGCATCTTAATCTGTTTTACTTATTATTTCTCCATTCTGTCCTGCAGATAACACCCCCTTCGATTTTATTTTTAATTCTGCTCATCTTAAGCGATTAAAACGGTACATAAATGATACTGCACCTTTTTAAAAGTGGTGCACCAATACAGGTGCATTTGCTTTAACAAATATCCTAATAGAGTTGCTGGTCTGAACTAAACAGGGGACTATGCACTGCTGAGAATGTTTATCGACTATTTGTGTGTTAGTGTCCTAATTTTCCTTTGTCCAGTCAGGTGTTGACTGTGGATGCTCGTAACCATGGCAATAGCACACACAGTCCTGTTCTGACCTACGAAGCTATGACCAATGACCTTCAGCACCTCCTTAGCCAACTCCACATCGGGAAATGTGTTCTGATTGGCCACAGCATGGGAGGGAAAGTTGCAATGGTGACCGCTCTGCTGCAGGTAGGCCATGTTTGCAGGTCAGGACTTGTTCAGATAAGGAGCAGGGCAGTCGAGCCAAAGTATGAGGTTCCTAATCTGTCCAAATAGGAAGCTTTTAGTTTGTAACTCTTACTCTGTGGTAGAGATATTTATTAACAAAACGGCAAGTTCAGTTACTGCTGCCTTAGCAGTTTCTGGTTTGTTTTGTTCGGTTTAGGCCTAGTTTTGCTGGTGTACTCTGGTGTTCTTCTAAGCACATAGAGCAGGCCTCCACTTAAATCCAGTTAGTACTTCAGCGTCGATCGGATTAGGGCTTTTTAGTGCACTTTAACCCTGGAGTGTCTTTGCTGGGTTTCTGGGGTGGCCCTCCCTCTAGTTTCTGTCTTGTATTGACTTGTCTTCAGTACAGGCCCGTTTGTCGGTGTGACCCCTACTCCTCTGTTTCTCACAGCCGGCCCTGGTGGAGCAACTTGTCGTGATTGATATCAGCCCCAGACAGACAACGGTGCGCACCATGTTCCCCTCTTACATCCAGGCCATGAAAGCTGTCAAACTAGACAGTAACATCCCCAGGTCCACTGCCAGGAGGCTAGCTGAGGACCAGTTACGTGCACATGTGAAGGTTGGTATTCTGTAGGCCTTCACAGATGTGGTGCTAGAGGGCTACAGTGCTTCTAGGTTTTTTTCAAAGCTGTTATGTACCTAATGTTAATGATCTAGTTACTAGCCAGACTGGGTTAGCCTCTTCCCTGCCCTTTGGCTTCTGGAGATAAGAGACCTGCAGTCCTCCAGGGTTTAAACTGTGCACTCCTGGTATTATGGATGATGTGCTTATAGTCAACATTTAAGTACTTATTGCTGTATTTATCTCAATTTGATGTTGTGTTATTTTGTATCTTATTTTATTGCATTGGTAGGAAAATTGCATATTAATGCGTTTCATTTTTTTCCCAACCTCCCTGCTGCCAAGATTAAATAGGATCAGTTCAGATCCTAACTACCACTTGTGTCCCCCTTGATAGGAACGTTCCATTCGACAGTTTCTCTTAACAAATCTTGTGGAGCAGAACGGTCAGTATTCTTGGAGGGTGAACCTGGAAGCCATCTCTGAGCACTTGGATGACCTTTTGAGCTTCCCTGATTTCAACATAACCTACGAAGGCCCAACGCTCTTCCTGGGTGGAACCAATTCTTCCTATATCAGGTAAAACTCTTACATTTTTAAATGTAAGGTAGCAGAAAGTATTATAAAGAACTAAACTAAGGATCACCTATATGGAAATAATATCCCAGGAAAGTTATCATGACTTTAGAACGGGTAGGTCTTGCCTAAAGAATTTGTAAGAGCTCTTTGAACAGGCAACGTTAGTGACTACACAAAGCACATGATGTTTGGAGGGCATTCGATAAAGTTCGTCATAGACCCTTGGGTCAGTTACCTACTAACTTCAAAACTAGCCAGATGGGCTAAATGGCCTCTTCTTATTTGTAACTTTATGATCTAACTGTATGTGTTTAATTACAATCTTTCAACTAAAATGTGGTTTAGCTAAACATACAACCTGGATTAAATACTTTGTGAAATAGTTTCTTAAAGACCTGTTAACAGAACTTCAAATGCTTAAGTACTGTATATTGTGAATCTAAAAATGAATCATGATTGCTGTAGGCGTCCTTCAGCACAATTACAGAGTATTGCTTTTCCAGGCAATCACACTGAAAGGTATTAGAAAGAAACCTCCTGCCCTTACATAGAAACCCATCTGTTGTTTCTGATGTCTTTGGTCACGTTTGTGCAGCTCTGAGGATTACCCTGAAATCCACCGCCTGTTCCCCCATGCGGATATTCAGTACATACCGGACGCTAGCCACTGGATCCACGCGGACAAGCCTCTTGACTTCATCAGCTCGGTCATTTCATTCGTGCAGTCTTAGCCTCCCGCAGGGAGTCTCCGGAGATCACGGTGCTGCCACCGGAGAGGGAAGAAAGCCGGAATTTCCGTTGTAAACCCGCTGCATCACTGACCCTAGGAAGTTAGTGTTCAGTCAAGGAAATAATACATATTTCCAGTAATTATTGTGCTTTTATTTTAGTATTAATCAATGTTTGTGTATGTTAAAATAGATAGATAGATAGATAGATATATATATTTTTAGTGCGGATGGGTGGCTTTGGATGGCAAGGGTTTCATCTTGACTCCTGCTCTCAGAGGAAGAGTTTCGTACTTCGAAAACTCACAGGGCGATCTGCTGTGTTGAAAACTATGCACTACTGCCTGCTTTAACTTTGCATTCCAGATTCGAGCTGGTATCATCCGAAGGGCATTGCTAGCTATGCAAAAGAAAGCATCCAGTGATGTGTTAGGTTTCTCAGTGTACTTTCCATATATATGAGAACATTTATACTGGATATTCAGCTACTGACTGTATACCTGAAGTATACAAAGAATATATCTCAGCTGCCTCAGAGCTAGATCTTAAAATGCTTTACAATACTCTAAGTACTTTTACAGTTTGTCTAAAGGATAACTCTCAAGTCCATCATCCCATTTTTACCTTCAGAGGTCCAACGAATATACTTGATGTTCAGCATTTTTTAAAACCTTTATTTTCAGCAAAGACATGGCATCCAAACAGGGAGTTCTTGGATACTTCAGAAACACAGGTCAGTCTGTGGGGGTAATATAGCACAACTCTATGATCAGTGGCAATTTTTCAGTTTAACGTGTCATTGTTTGTGAAATCAAGTAAATATGTTTAAACTGCAGCTGTAACATTTAAAATTATCCAAATGATGTAATACTGACATCCATTTGTGTATATAGTTTTTAATTTGTATTTTATACTGTTGAGGGGAATACAGCACTGCCTCCTGCCATTGTCCTTGATGAATTGCTTTGTCCACAATCACTGTTACAAGACGGTTCAGTCATGTTACCATCTTTTTTGTTACTTAACTCATAAACATGTTAATACAAAACTACAGCTCACCTAAATATTTAATTTTGCAGTGGTGTGTCTTTCTTGCTTGTGTTATTGTGTTAGGGTCTCTGGGTGGGATCCTATTGGGCTTTCTGATGAGATGTTCTCCATCTTCAATGCTGCCTGTTGTGTGTCAGATGCACATCATTATTGAAATCCAGAGAAGGCCTCTTTCACATCAGTAATAAAATAATTGGCTTGCTTCTTTTTCATTTCCAAAAATGTATGGACACTACAATTCCAGGGATATGCGTCTTTGCAGTGTGCACATTATGTATGAAAGCACTGTCCTTTTCATCGTAACAGCTTAATAGCATTACTCTAAGCATCCAAACCATGTGAGCACTTAACTTAAAATCCATCCATTCGGCTGCAAAGCATGAAGGCTGGTAAAGTATTTTTTTTACAGAATGTGAGCTGTGAACCCACCACTTCTTTCTAAAAACTAAAGAGACATGCCTCCTCCCCCAAGATTTGAGGTATCTTGGATGAATTTGCGGATTAATACAGATGAAAATAAACCAGCTATTTTTATAGTGGAAAAGCAAGTAGCGGCTGTTAAAGTTCACTTAAAGCAATTGCCTTAAAAAACAGGTGTTTTGCTGAAAAACTTTGAAAGCCATCCTGATTATGAAAAAAGTGTGCTAAGATAATGCTTGAAAATGGATTTATCATAAGGCAGCCATCTATCCAGCCTCTATAAAATGATTTTATTTCTTAGTACAAACAATACAGCTTTATTTGTCCCAGAAACACACATTTCAATAAACACAAGGTATAAAGCATGGAAAGTACTTCTTATACATTCTCTTGTGATTGGTGAAAATAATTATAAATCTTGTTTTAGATCTGGTAAGATAAAGGACATAGGTACTGGCAACATTCAACATCATATCTAAGGTCACAAGAGTCACAGTGAGGGTTTTTTTACATATTAACAAAATACTATGGCTACATAATTCTTTAAATGATCAGTTGATGTTTCACAATGTGCCTACAATTTGTTGATCAAACTTAAAAAGGTTACTTTTTTTGCCTCTTTCATTTACACTTTAGTGATTACATTAGCTGTTTGCGTGTACAGTTTCCAACAGCTCCTTCATTGAAACACTTTTACAGTACTACTGACAGACAGAACAAGTAGCCCTGTGATTCTTTAATTAGAGAAACATTTTAGACATTTTTTTTACAATTTAATACTGTTGAATGTAACATTTTCCTTCTCAAGTTTTCAAAAGAGCTTACTGGAACAGAGTATTTAAAAGCTACCGCTGGCTCAAAACACCACCCAACAGAAGGGCTCCCATCTCCTCTCCCCAAGAATAAGCTGACTCTCGGGAGAGTGAGCCTGTGTCTAAGTTGAGATTGTGCTCTTATTGGTATCTTATTGCTCCTGTGCTCATACCTGGATTTCTCCAAATCCCTTCACAGCAAGTTGCTGAAACCTGATGACAGGTAAGGGGTATTTCTGCTGATATTCCAGCTGATTAATGAAGGCTGCCTACTAATGTCAAGCTGTGGAGCACTACAGATCACGTTTAGACCAGGGATGTCTGATCTGGATATCCTTCTAAGGGTGTCCAATGCTAGTCCCAGCTCCCTAGGACCCCTGGAGATTTTCTAGTCTCTTTAAAGCACCAGCGCCTAACTAGCTAGCTAAAAAACTGCCAGTTTGGTCCACTTAAGCCAATAATGAGTTGTAATGAGGTCACCTGCCCACCCAGAACTCCAGAAAATTGGAGTCTCCCATCAAGACCTGACACTTCGGCACATCTCTGCTGTTCCCAACCAAAAAAGCACCAGCCTTACGGCCACCCGCTGAAATCTATCTCTCACAGTGCACCTTGACAGCTGGATTATGAGTCTCTGATATTGGCTGAGCACCCTTTCCTGACTTCCATTAGAGTTACCTCATCTCGGCTCTGTGGGCAATCAACCTAAAAGTCCAAACTGGCTTGTGTTGAAGTTTCCACACATCGTGGGATACTGATCAATTTCACACGTTTTTTTATTCTGTCTGCATCATTCTGTGTGAATTCTTACGAAGCAGGAAAGACACAAATCAATTCATTGCTGTAACCTTCCTGTTCAGTTGTCTCGCAGAAAAAGGAACCGAACAATAGACCACTGTGAGTATATAAAGTAATGGCCTACACAGCATCTCTTTACACATCCTAAGAGCTAAATTCCTTCAGGATACAAACGGTAGGCCACTTTTTAAAAAGAAATTACTCCATCTCCCCGCATGAGTAATAAATAAAAGAATCAGAAATGGATTCTTCCAAGATCTATCCAGCAGATACTGCTGAGTAAATGTCCCGCTGTGTGACACAGTGATGTCCAGGGCTCAGGCTGGCCTAGCCTAATTCCCAGGCTACCCCAGCTTTCCACCTTTCAGCCATTCCTTCCAGTGAGCCGGTGTGCGCCTGGGCTCTGAGGCCTGGGAAGACGTAGAAGAGAGGTGTCTGGTTCTCAGCGTTGGGGTGCTGGGCCGGCGCAGGAAGGAAAGGCGGCCGGTCCCCGTGGACACAGAGTTCTTCCTCTGAGCCTGGTCTGTCTGCTGCTGGGTCTTCAGCTGCTGGTTAATAATAACTTGGATATCATCCTGCCAAAACATTTTAAGAAATAAAAACAGTCCATATTACTCAAGTGGACATTTTAAAAGCTCCTGTGGCTGAAAGGCCTTAGAATGTTTCCAGATGTTAGAAATTGTCTCTTTGGCTTCTCATTTAGAAAACAAATGTTACGCTTCTCTGAAACGATGAAATGATTGTGTTCCGGCTGTTTTAACTATCTGTTGCCACTAGAGGGAGCAGGATACACGAGAGAGAAGCCATCGCTGTGCAAATCTGAAGAAAGTGAACTTCGCCTTGGTACAGATCTTGGAACACAGACTTTAAACAGACCTGTGAGATCTTCATATCAATTAGCCACTAGCAATCAAACAGGCTAGATGGGCAGAATCTTTAGTTTGTAGACTCTTATGTTCTTTATATTTTCCATGGCCTCCAACAGATGCATAGCTGTCCCCATCAGTGCTGAACGATTTTAATAATTATCATCGTTACTCTGCATTAGTATTTTATGCTTTCAAGGCTATATTATTTAGCAAAATCTGCCACATTTGAACATTTTAGAAAATGATCTTAAAAAAATAAAAACCCACTGTGAATTGTTGTGGCATTTTCTTATTTCACTATTAAAATACCATGAGATGAAGTGTTATTAAAGGTACTATATCAGATTACTAACATCAAAATGTAGCCACTTAAAAAAAAGGCATACCTGTAACCAAAGTAAAATTCTATGAATAGCAATGGTTTAAAGGTTAGACCAAACCAATTCTTGACCCTTATAAGTTTTATTTAAAGATGGCGGTCCGCTCCTCCTGAAATATGGCATCCAAGAACCTCCCAAGCATTCCTGATGTACCACTGGCACCCCCTACAGGCAGCTCTGAGTACTGTACCTGCCAGGCCTCCAGCTCCTGAGACAGCTCCAGCTTGCGTTGAATGGCTTCCAGCAGCTGATTGTTCAGTGACATCATCTCATTCTTGCACTTAATCAGTTCATTCTCCATGGCGTTCTTCCTGAACACAAAATAAAAACATCCATTTAAATAATTCAAGTTTTGCTCATATAACGAAACAAATCCATTGCCGCAAAAGCTATCAAATTGACAATTTCCGATACTGTTTGAGCCGTTTTTCATTTTTATCCTACAAGTATTTCAGAATATCAAACTGTTGTTTACATCGAAACCCAGAGCAAAGTATATTAATTTATTAAAAAAACAATGGCTCACACAACAATATAAGCAATGAAAAACACTTGTTCCGGTATATTTTAATCAATAATACGATACAGCATTCTCACGTGACACGGCTACCGGCTTCTGCTGCTCGGTGAGTGGGTGTCTCTACTCACTTTCCAATGGCCTCATCCCGATCCCAGATTGCCTGCTGTAGGATCTCGTCAGCCTTCATTCTTTCCGCACACAGCATCAGCTCCGAGTCCTCCTTCCCAGGCAGAGCGTTCTGGAATGACGGGGCAGAGGAAAATGCCGAGATTAATGCTAATCGGCAATGCAAGGTTCCAAGAACCACTTCATGGCTCCAGACGACCTTGAAACCACCCTCAATAAAATAACCACAGCCTTCGTTTGTAAGTGTATTTTTGCAAGTACAGTTTCCTTGTACAGTACACTTGTCTTGAAGACACAGCAGCTCCCTTTCTGATACTAAGTTCTCTTGCCAAATTTGTTTTGGTAACCTCCGAAGCATGAACACCATTGCTGTAAACAATTCTTCACAAGATTATAAACTGCCTAATAAGATTCTAATTGTCCTTATTGTTGATGATAGTTAAAAGTATATTAATAATCAAAACTCTAATGACTCGTGTGTTCTGCTCTACTGGACTCTAGTATTGGTTGCCATGCTTTGGTGATGAAAACTTATCGCATAGTGGCACAGAGTTCAGAACCTAATCTTTCATCTGCAGAGAAATAACATGGAGCAGGGTCTGATGTATATGATTGTTTTCTATTCTGTTTTGTGTTGGTTTTTAAATTGACTATCATCTATACATACGTTTATACAATCAAAATAGAGTTTTTAAGGGACCACTTCATATACACTGTGTCAAATAGTAATTTCTTGTTCCTAACCTCTGTCATTAGCAAATAAAGCCAAATGATTCAAACAAAATAATGTGAAGTTAGGATGCTGTGCTGAGATTGTGCCACTAGATTTTGGATTTTTCTTTTATGAGTTTGCGCTGTCCACATTTTAGCTATAAACTAACCATAAAACCTTTAAAAATATGTACCTGGAGCACATTTAACATTTTTATTAACTGGTCTAAGTCAGGTTTCCCAAGAGCAGATTTAAGCTCATGTGCCACCGTTACCTGATCTTGGAGCTGCTGTATCAAGTTCTGATTCTCACAGGGAATGCTCTTTTGCAAAACACTGGAGTGATTCAGCTCCTAGGAGACAGGACATTATACGGAGATCAGGTGTCAGTAAATCTATGTCACAGACATCTCTCTGTTGGTCTCATTGTGCATTGAGAACAAGTCAGAAGAGCCTTGGGGAAAGGAGAGGGCTCGGTTTCAGTATCAAATGCACCTTCCAAAATCACCTGCTCTTTCACTCAATCGGCTGACCACATACTGAAAAAACTTCAAGCAACACAAAGGCAGTGACAATGCTACAGATAAAATGGCAGTGTAGAAAGTGTTGGGTCAACCCATAGGCTATTTGCAAAAATGTTTTTTATAATAGATCTCCAAAGGGGCACAATAAAATCTTTTAAAGTACGTGGTGAACGTACTATGTGTTCGGAGTAACGTGCACTGTAAAATCACTGCTGAGGTGCTGGTGCCATCAGGATTTAGCACAGTTTGCTCTAAAGGCCCATAAGCTTTGTCCTGACCTTCACGTTATCTTGGTCACTCCCTCCCGAGTCATTCTCGGGAGAAATGTCAAGAAAGGTGACCAACTGAAACCGCAGGCTTTTTCAGAGACACAGAACACTCTAACTGAGGTGCAGAACTCAGCCCAATAAATGTTTTTTTTAACCAAGGTTCAGATGAGAAGACAGCAAGCAATTTCTCCCTGGAATTAATAAAATCCTCCATGATGTCATTTCCCAAAAAACTACACATTCTATAGAAAGCCCCCCTATTGTTAATAAACCACCATCTGAGAACAACAGCTACAGTAACAGCTAGTGCCACTGCTGCCAATGACTGACATGCCTTTGTCTGAGTATGGATTTCTGTATCATAGTGAGAGGAGTCCCCACAAAATTGTAATTGACTACTGGAACACCCTACTTGCTGGGGTATCTAAAGCCACACTGAACAAACTTCAGAATGTCCAGAATTTGCCAGCCAGAACCCTTACCAGGTCTTGTGCAAGTGATCACATTACTTCTATCCTGGAGTCCTTACACTGGCTCCCTGTCAGGTTTCTTGTCAAGTTCAAAATCCTCATGCTCACCTTTCATCTGACTCTCATCCTTCTCCAAACCTCTCAACCTTCATTCACCTAATTCTGGTCTCCTGTCTGTATCCCCAGGCCTGTCTATACTCTATGGCCGACCAAGCCTTCTCTTGCCCCAGAGCTCTGGAATTCTATAAGGATATCAGATTGTCACCTTTTCTGAGCCCTATCAAATCAAGACTCAAAACTTTCTTCTTCAGAAGGCCTTTTTTTATCTTGTCCTGTTCATACCTCATGTATTTCCTACCGTGTTCCAAACCCTTATTGTAGTTGTGTAATCCTGCTGTCTCCTCCCACTGTTCACCTTTTTTTTTACACCTTTTATATTACAGACGTGCTTTGATGACCAGGTGCCAGCATGTGCTTGAACACAGCTGCATCCCAAAAAGGATATTTCTCCCCGTCCCTCCTTAATAAAACCCTGTAGTCATCCCACCAATCCAATTTTAGTCTTTTGTATTCACTAAAAATGAAAATGAGATGATGTAGGTGTGAGTAGTGTTTCACTGATTGCCTAGTCGTGACTCTGATAGAATGAGGTCAGCTCCTGTTCAGGTGGGTGTTGATGTAATTTTAGCTTCACAAAGAGTGGTGACACAGGAAGAACCTCAGAAGCCTCACCTGAGATGAGTGGCACTGTGCCAGCCTCTGTGCCATCTTTTTGATCTGCGACAGCATTACAAGCAGACTGTCCTGCTGGTTTTGAATATCCTTAAGGCCTTCTTCTGGGGAGCAGTCAGGTATTGGAAGCATCAGCTTCAGAATGGACAGCACTTCTCTGGTCACCTGCAAATGTTGAGATTTAGTATTGAGCACATGACACCACATTGCGGAACAGCCCCATTTTAAATGTTTCCAAATCAGAACTGGAATTGCCCAATACAGCAGAATTGAATGGCAAACTGAAGACAACCTGTTAGGAAGAGACTGATAAAAAAAGAGATTCTGACATAACAGTAGCTTTAAGTTATTGGCACCTCCTGTCTGAAAGCAGTTAATGCACAAATGCACATGTAACATTTGCTACTAGGTTGCAAGTTGCTTACTAGGAGGAGTCTGTGTTTAAGAGTCATTCAGTGAATAATATTTATTGTTCCACATGAAGGGGTCATGCCCAATTTTGTCAAGAGGAAAAAAATAACGGATGTAAATTGTAAAACAAAATCCAAAATAAGCACAAAGGGAAAAAATGCAAATAAAGTCATAAAATAACCTCCTTCAATGCTATAATTGTTTATGCCTCCTGCCTATGACACCTCCAGGATTACTGAAACATGCTTGCTTGCAGACTGATGTGGGTGTTTTCAGGTGCGTTCTTTGCAGAGAGACAGGAAGTCTCTTCATATAAAAGAAAGGGTAGATTGAAAAACATTTTGAAATTCACTTTTAACTTCGAGAAAAGCAACAATGAGAGTACAATATTTTACAGGATGAGTCACTTTGCTGTAATAGACTAAATTAGTGTGAAAATTGTTTGATTCTAGTGTATTATGAAGCATGAAAGTGGGGGGAAATTATTTTGCCTTTTTGGGATCTAGCTTGGAATACAGCATCTTACTCACCCTAGCTTTAACCCACCTAAATAATGACATGGCCAAACTTAATTATATGCCTGAATGTGTTAGAGAAAGGAGATATGCTAAAAGGCATTAAAAATGCAACAAATGCTAATGGATCCAACATTCATTTGCTGCATTTTGCAATACCTCTCAGTATATTAAATATAATGCCAATGTTAAATTTCTATTTACTTCTATTTACGATCGAAAGCTCTGATGAAGCTCTGTAGGCCTGGAATAATTATTTGATTGTCAGCATTATACACAGGAAGCACAAAAGCACATTGTATTTGTTTTAATTTCGGAGATAAAAACCTCTGGTGCATCTTCGTACCCAGTGTTCCAGATAAGTAATTATGGTTGACGTCAAGTGTCTGGGATAGTTACAGTTACCAGGAGTGACAACAGTTCCTGCGCATGTCGTACACAGTCGGTAACAATAGCTGTTTTAAACTTCAAATGTACAGACCACAGAAAGAATGGCTCAACAGAGTGTGTGGGTTTTATTTTCTATTTATATACAGTATGTATGACTTGCTTATCAGAGGCAGTTTCCTTTAGGTTAACCACTACAATTTTCTTCAAGAGACCCAAGTCACATGCCTGTGTGATCATGAGAAGAGGATAAGAACACTGCATAGGCTGAAGTTAAGTGTTTTCCGCTCACTAAAATGACAAAAGTTCATTGACGATATCCTCGAATCCAATCTCAGATAAACAACCACAACTTAATGCCACTGTCATTTCAGAGAATCTCTGTATCTTAGAAATGTGTTTAATTAAGCATCACTTCTGAGTAATAATGATAACAAAAATAAGAACAACCACACACAGCAAACAAAACGGTTTTGACAATCCAAACCCAAACAGATCTGAGTGAAAACACTATCTTAATAGGTTAAAAAAAGTTCTGAAGCATTTAGCAAATAGAGAATATGGAACTATCTCCGGATGGGGTGCTAATCCCCAGCAATGCAGTCACCTGAACAGTTGAGGTAAAGCATTCAATAGCTGTGTGTGCCGTAGTGACTCAAACCCACAGTTCAGAACACTAACCACTATTCTACCCTGTATTAGCAATATGTTTTTTATTAGCTTGTCAGACATTAATGTGGTTCCTCTTTTAATGATTAAGCAGTCAGATTCCTAGATGATTTCCATTAGTTCAGGTTTAAGAATAATGTGTCAGAGTGTGATTCACAGTCCCACTTTCTGCTGTGCTATTACATTACTTAATATAGACAGACATCCTGAGCTCGACAGAAACAAAATCTTTGAAACTCAGATTACTATAATACAGAATCCCACCTGAATCTGCTACTTCAAGTAGATAAGAGCCTAAACTAACACCATTTCTGAAACCAAGCTTCTGTTTTCTTTTGTTCTGCAGTATATACAGTAATTTAGCCTCGCTCAAACAGGTCCTACAGGACTTTATACGAACGAAAGAGAAGAGGCCATTTAGCTAGCATGTATGGTAGCAAATAGCTAATAGATCCAAAGGATCTCATCCAGCTGTTTCCTGAAAGCCCAGGGTATTGGCTTCTACAACTTGCAACTTGCCTGATTAGCTCGTGCCTCCAGATCTCAGTTATAAATGCACTCTCAAAGTTTCCACTTGTGGCCCCTGGTTCATGCTTCCCTGTTTATTCTGTTATTTAGTCTGTTAGGTTGACTTTCTCAATGCCTTTGAGGATTCCAAGCACTTGTTATCAGTTCCCCTCGTAATCTACGCTGTTCAAGACCTAACAATGATTCAGTTCTATCATCACATGGCAGATTAAGGTGGGAGGGTTTCTGATTGAAGCAGTACGTTATACATGTGAGGAAAGGGAGTGGCACTATGTTTTGATCTCTGTACACTCTGCAGTAGCTCAGCGTGGTTCTGGGATTTCTGCCCTACTCCCAGCTCTTGCTGTATTAAGTATCATGACGATAGCATGAAGATTTGACACTGGATTGCTGTACCTGCTCCTTGTCCTGGCTCCAGCTCATACTGTCCAGGCTCTGCTCCAGCTCCGACTGCAGGGACACCTCCCCCCCGCTAGAATCCCGCAGTGAGGCCTCCTCCTGGAGCTCTTCGAGCTGTGACTGGAGATGCAGGCTTCTTCCTCGTGCGATCTCCACCTCCTGCTGACAGTCCTTCAGCTGCACACAGCACAGAAATGCACAGTCTGGTCAGGGCCAGCCCAGCAAACCACTCGGCAAGCACGCATTCGACCCCAGAGGGAGGCCTTCAGCATTCATCTCCGAGAGGCTTGCAGGTACACAGAGAAAAAGGTTTTTCATTAGTTGACCTGTAACTGCACGGTACATGGAAAGACAAAACCCGTAAAACAGGAAAAAAAACTTGAGGAATCATCAAATTTGCATTCAAAATGCATGTTGAGTCCTGCACTTAATGTTTAAATAAAGCGCATTGCCCTCGGATGTAAACAAATGCACGCTACATTCTTTGTTAACCAAAGCGTTACAGCTATGGGAGAGCTTGCAGATCCAGATTCCAGTTAGTCACTGCCTGAGCCTTAAAAACTTCCCAAGTATAGAATCTTGAGGTGCAAGTTAAACAGAAATCTTACAAGAAAGGATTCCAGACAAATAAATCCAGTAATTCTGCATGCTGATACCCACAGAGAGTGGAAAACATGGTAAGCAGTTTCTGTTGGACTGGTGCTCTATAAGCTTAGCCTCTTCAAAATGTGTTTATCACACAGCTACTAATTAAACAGTCAGGAAGTCTAAGTAATGGATCAAAGAACACATTTTTATTAAACACTTAAAGCCCTCTAACCTTTTAATAGCTCCCCTTGTTCATTTTCTGTGCAATGAAGGTAGTTCTCAAGACACAGTGTTCCAATGCTTGTGCAATCTACCGAATAGTCATGCATTTTCTCCCAGCACTATAATAAATGCCCTTATTCTTCACTGTTACAGAGCAGTCCACTTTATAAACCTATTATCAAAGCATTCTGTCGCTGCTCTGTCTTTGTGAAAAGTGACAGAATTAAAACCCAGGTGAAAAGTCCTTTGTACCCGGTACTCTCTGCCCAGTGCTGGTCTCAGTATATGTACCTGCAGTGTCTGTTGCCTGCTCTGCTCCTCCAGGCTGCTGACGTGCTTGTGCAGACTGGCCATGCTGTCCCGCAGAGCGGTCTTCTCCTGGCACAGTGCCTCAACCTGCCTCTCCAGATCGAGCTTCTTCTCCGACAGAGACGCCACCTGGTTCCCAGAGAGACACACGCAAGTAAGCATGGGACCGAGACAGTGGGGCATCCTCCATGACGTCAATTGAATCTCAGGTTTCATAAAAGTCAGATTTGTTTAAATTTTTGCTTTATCAAGACCAGTAAATATATTCAGTAAAATTGTGGGAACGAGAGCTATCTAGAAGAGGTTTCCTTTAAGAGCCACAGCCAGCACTGGGGTGCATTACAACCTTTGTGTTTAACTTGTTCCAGTGAGCAGTGGGCTGCTGTCTCACCTGTTCCCTCAGAGTGTGGATCAGTTCCTCATCCTGTCTCCGAAAGCTGGCCTTCTTCTGAAACTCATCCTTCAGAGCCTGCACCTCTGCTGTGAGCGCCCTCTCTGCTTCAACTGCCTGCCCAGAGGAGAGACACATCCTGTCAGCTTTCAAGCCCCAGAGACTCACCAGCACTGATCATTCACCTCCCTCTTTGATGGAGGTGTTATGATGGGAGTGACCCAGGGGCCAGTTACGCCACGATACAGCGCCGTTCTCTTTGTGTTAAAAGGCTCAGTAGGTTTGGTCAAGCAGTTTAACTGTAGTACTCGGTGGGCAGAGAGCCTGGACCGTCATCCACGCTCAGTGAGTCACTCATTTCATGAATGAACCCACGGTAGTAGCAACATTTCTTCACTTGCCTTGGGTCTCCACGTCAGCAGTGACACACTGAAAAAGCAGGAAGTCACATGGGCTGTTTTGACCACTCATTAAAACAAAAAAAGCCTTTGTGGATACTTAATAGCACATTTGTCTTTTCACAGTGTGTCAAAGTTTATCACTCTTATGATGCATTTATTTTGCATCACTATGATTTGTCATGCATTGTTTTATACTTGTATTATATTACCCTGTTTTGCTGCATCCAACACAAGGGTTCTCAGCTCTTTACCTGCCCACCCTGAGCTATAATATTCTAGGCTGTTCTGACAACGGCCTGCACTTGTTTCTGGATCTGAGAGAAACTGACTCATTCCCCAGGGTATCCTATTTCATGTGTCTCGGACACTGTCCAGCCCTTTGTACCCATGTGGTATCAGGGGACATTGCCATTCATCTGATCATTTTAATAGTCGCAACGAATCAGCTCTTTTTTCTCATCTAAAATCAGTCCCCTCCCTGTTACTTTTATAGAGGATAAAGCACTTGATTTCTTAGAGAACTTGATGGATGATGGATGCACTTTGTGACGATCATTTCTCTTCCTGTAAACACCTCACTCATACCAGCTAATTCAAGTTTTGCACATGCACCTAAAACCCCCCAAAACAAGTTCCATCATGGCAGTGGTCCCAGATGAAGACTTCTCCTAACCCTCTCTCACTCAGGGTGTGCCTGGCACCTCCACATGTTTTAGCAGTATCCTGTAACTAAGAGTTTACGGTTGTGTTGTCCTTTTCCATTTTAAAAATGCAAACAGAAATTTTTAACGAATCAGTCATTCTACTGAGCCAGAAACACGAACTTTCGATACAACACTGCCTCAGTCCCCACCCCCCACCCCCCAACTGATACAACGTTGCCGAAAAAGACCAAAATTACAGTTCACTTCACTAACGCTGCCCCAGTGTTCCATTTGCAACAAAAACAACAATTCAGACATTAGAGCCGAAGTGCAGAGCAAAAGGTTCCCCATTCAAAGCTCTGAATCAGCAGTTTGTCAGAGCTGTGTCAAGTCACATCACACGGCGACAATGGCAGATGAAAGCCCAGCAGCAGATGGAGCGTGGTATCTTGGTCTTGGCAATGACATCATCACGCCACATTAGGCAGAGCGTGGAAAGCACACAGAGGGAGCACGAGAGGAGCTGGGATAGAGAGAAAGCCAGAAAAAGAGTAAGACAGCAAGAAAGATGAGTCCTGTTTTTTTTTTGGCTTGGGATGCCTTGAGCAATTGACCAGCAACAATTTAAGCAGTGTTACAGTGGGATACTATAACCTAATTTATTCATTTAAATAACACTTTTATCCAAAGCTACTTACAGTTGTACTCATTTTTATAGCCAGGCATTATTAAGCAAACGTGGTGCTCAAGGATACAACAACCGTGTCTCACCTGGGATTCGAACCTGCAACATTCCAGCACCCTAACCCCTGCTCCACACTGCTGTCTTCCCCTCTTCAATGGGGGGGAGAGCACCTATAGCTTATGCATCAGCTAAGAGGCCCGTTGGCTCAGGCGGAATAACAAAGCAAACACAGAATTCGGTCCCCCACCTCGCGAGCCCCACCCCCCCCTCAGCTTGGGCAGCACAGGCCAGATGAAACAGCTGACACCCCAAGCCACACTGACCCCCAGGGGGACTCGAACGGCTGCTGTGATGGACAAACGCGTCCCCAGAGAGTGATTTAGGAGAGTCACGCGGGCTTCGGACACACACTGTGCGAGAACAAACACAGGAAGGAGTTACTGGCACGTGCAACAACAACTCTAATTTTCACTGCGTTACACCGGTCTTAGTTTGGATGAGGAAGGAAGATTATATTTAAATATATAAATATATTAAATATTGGCTCAGACATATTAAAACCAGTTTAAAAATGTATAACATTATAAAAGTAGCAAGAATGTCTGCCATTGCACTCTTTTCAAATTCTGCTTTCTTGCACCATAAATTAGTTTTTGCTGCGATTCACGACTTGATTATGATAGATTAATTTTTAATTTATCATACATTTATAATGGGTCTTAAGGCCCTCAACTAAGAAGCCGCTTTCGGGTACAGACATCTTTGGGTGTAGAAACTTCTTTTCTGCCTCTATGTCACAAGGGTAATGAAACAGAATTGTGCTCTGGGTGAGATATCATATAACCGGTTGACTGACTTCTATAAACTAAAGAACAAATGAAGCTGAATTCTGTCATTTTTGGGATGAGCAAGGTTTCAGTGTGCAGAGATAAAATATAGCATTAAGAGTTACCAGAGAGATTTTTTTTTCAGATACATAACATAAACATAACCTCAGAAAATACAAAAAATGCACAGAACCTTGCCAGTGATTTAAAAACAAACAGGAAAGAATGGGTGTAACCCACCATCATAGGTCCCTGTGTAGCAAGTGTAAGATAAAAGAATCAAGAATCTTTTGGGCAAACGGGCTGTTTATAAACCAGCCATTTTAGTTATCAGCACTTTCTAGTCCATAACAGTTTAAATGTCTACAACCACTAAATCAGAGCCTAATTCTTGTGACCTCTTGCTCCTGCCTCATTCACACACCAGCTCCTTCTTTGCTCTATGATATTGGTCCAGTTGATATCCCTGTCTACATTTTCATACTTTAGGAAGCACACTTAACCTCCAAGTGTGTCACCACCAAATCATAAAGAATGCCCCATATCTCTTACCATTGCAGTGTTTTAAATTGCTACAGATACTGCCATTTCAGAAGACATAACAGGTACGAAAAAGCACTTGACAGAGAGATACGAGTCCTGAAAGCTTCACAGTTCATTGGTTCAACACAAGGACTCTGTCTGAGGAAAGTGCCCAGATTTAAGGCTTAGATTATAAAATGAAAAGAGCAGGCTCAATATTTGTATTGTATTCCACAGGCTACTCAAGCTTCTTAAGAGCTTAACGTCTACAACAGCTCATTACACACTGCTCAGCATCCCTACTCCCTACAATCTCAATGTCTCTGTGGAACACAAATCCAAACTTTCAGAAACATGCAATATGCTTATGAAAGCAGTACCTCAAAGCGCTACAATCATAGCCGGGCACAGAACATCTCGTTCAGTCAAAAAATACTTCCAGAGAGGTTTATAGTAATGTCCATTCTTAGTTAGATTTTGAATAAAAACACAAAGGCAAAAATCCATCTACCTAGATATTTAATCTGTCTAGTCACAGACCTGAAAAAGTAGAAGCAAGAGGTTACTTTTAAAAAGATCTCATCTTGTCGGCAGAGCTTACACAACAAAAAACAAATATCATAACTGTGTCAGAAAAAGGGCCACAATCACTGCAGAGCACAGAACATCTTGTTCAATCTACAAACTACTTCCAGAGAGTTTTATAGTATTGCCCATTCTATGTTAAATTTAGATGAACATAGAATTATTAAGATAAAACTTCTGTCCAGAACACAGTAGGAAATTTCACTTGCATGATTTATTTCCTCATATTTATGCATACTCTAGCATGAACATTTGATATATTATAACTCACAATGGATTAGGTTTTGGCCAAGCAAGCAAGTGATAAAAAGAATATTTGAAAGCTTGGGATTCAAACCTACTGTACATGAACCCCAACCAATTAAAAACATTTAGCAAAAGAACACGTTCTCAGAGTGCACAAGAGAACACTACATAATGATTATTCATAATATTGAAATTAATGTAGCTGCATAGCACGTAATGATAACAGCATTGTCATTATCAAAGAAAACCTCCATCAGCTGAGGCTCTGCTCCAATCTGTTTGAGAAACAAAAACTTAAAGTCCAGAATATGTCAGGTTCAAGGGCCACTTGAGAATAAGCTGTCTGACATTACTGACCACACACCGCTTATGAAAGGATAAATACAGCTTAGGCTCATTTTTATAAGCTTATAGTTTTGGTCCTGCTGCTAGCACAATGATTAATTCACCAGTCAGATCTGGTACACTGCCCAAGTGATCTATTAACAATGGCTAAGAAAACGCTAACTAACAATGACGGTAAATTCTCTACACAAGGAAAACCATCTCCTGAGAAAATATGTTACCCCACTGCATTCCTGGAGCAATGCTCACATGAAGCTTTTCTTTTGCTGCAGGGGTTTGAAAACTGGCCCAGCTTGAAATGAGTATCTCAAAAATGCATAGCATGCTTCAGTGTTTTGTGTGCAGACTACAACACTGTACAGCTGGAATCCAGGGAATGCTCTTGAAAGATTTAGGTGCTTACAAGCTGACCTATTTTATTAATTGGAAAAACCATAATAAACTGTTGCATACATAATCCACACTTGTGTACAGAAACTCTCACATGTTAAGCTAACATTACACTGTTATTACAGAAATGTAGTGAGATGTGTTTCTAAGTGTTTAAATACAAAAACAAACATAAGATATTACAGCGATATTGTTTCAGGTGCACTGCAAATGTTGCTCATTGCCAACACAACTGTGTCAACATTACAAGAAGAACCGATGGTGGGATAATATTTAGAAATAGCAGGTCTGCTGGAAGTCACAGTACAATGGAAGCGCTTACAAATAGTTTCAGATTTTGTAAAGCCAAATGATCTCTTGAGAAAATGTTGATAAACAAGGTAAAACTGTAGAACTTCTCCCCCTGTTCACATCATTAACCTCCCCCATCCCTTTCCTCCCCCAGATTCCACACAGAAATGGCACAGATTCAAACCCAGGAACGGAGAGATACAGCTCTTACTCACCCTGAGAGGTACTGACGACCTCCTCTCAGAAGCGGTATTTGTCACAACATCAGGTAAAGAGCTGTCTGCAGAGGGACTGGGAGGACACTTTGCGGTATTAAATTCTATCTTGACAGAGCAACTGGACTCTGAAGACTCCCAGTTCTGCCATTCATTCACTGCTCTTGGAAACACAGACGAATCCATAGTCTCTTACTCAGGCAAATATCTCTGTAAGACTTCCTTCTCTGTAAGTGCTCAGATGGAGTGATAATTTTGTAAACACGCTTTTCCTGCCCTTGGAATTCTGTAAAACACTTGCCATAGGCCAGAGCTGTCTTCAAAGCATGAGACTAATGAGCAATGTTTTAAAGGAGACTACGCCTTCTACAATGAGGGAGAGACCGTCACAGAGTATAAGATGTAAACTACAGGCCTTCTCAAAACCTATATCCAAGAAATGTTTTGAGCATCAAAACCAGCTTGTTCCTGATCTTATGAAAATATTCTTCAACCTAGGTAAACACAGACCTGTAATACTTTCCACTTCCTGTGCTGTGGATTGGAATAGATTTGGAGGCTTTCAAGTTCCATCAAGGACAATGAACTAAAATGAATTACAGATCTTGAATCTTGAACACGCCAAATACAGTTGATAAGAAGTGAGACAAATACCGTATACCACACTATTGCAGTTTCATATTAATTACTGACATACCAGACAGAACATAACTTCCAAGCAACAGAAAGAATTCTACATATTTATAGAAAATTTAGAAATCACCAAGGCTAAACAAATATAATATATAATTGAAACAAATGCAGAAAAGGTCTGGCTACCAATTCCACACCTATAACTATTATGTACAACATGAATAAACCAACTGAAAGACAAAACAGGACCTCTGATAGCTTTCCCTTGAGGTCCCAGCCCTTGAATTTTTTTTCTTACATGTGATTTTCAACGGTTCATGCACATCGAGGTCTTGTATTTTGAATGACACCTTTTACTTATTTCCTTAAAGATCTTTTAAAATTTCTCAGCTACACAAAACATAGTCTAACTAAACCAGGAACTGCAATGTAGACTGTTTAGTGCCAGGAATCACGATCCTTCAACTCTAACGTCATGAGTGGAAAAAAAACTTTCCTTGTTTCCTTGTTGTTCTGCTGGCCTGTCTTGATTTGCTTCCTGTAACTCATTACACACTTCCTTAAGGAGTTTATAGAAAAACTTATAATGTCCAAATTAGCCAGTTTTCAAAGAACATCATACTGTATACCTTCCATTGAGATTTCAGAGTCTGAAATCTTAATAGTTAAATTTTGACTATTTGTTACACCACTGTTAAAAGTTGCTGACAGGTGTTGCCTGTAGTACATTAAGTTTCAGTGGTAGTGTTCAACAAAGCCACACCTACACTATTTTTAGCTCATAAACAGATATAAGAGGCAGGTGAGGCCCAACTACAATCTAAGGCTACTTTGATAAGGTTCCTAGTCATGGGAAAGTTGATTTTCCTCCCTACTGTGCAGAATTGTTTAAAAATGATGTCATGCTCC